GTGTAATACGAAAGTCAAAAGAAGCAAAGGAAATATTTTTAGAGGAAAAGTGCAAAGAAATAGAGATACAAATGAGGAATGGTAGCAGAGATGCAGCGTATAAATCAGTTAAAAATTTTTTTACCGATTATAAACCAAAAAGGGGGGCAATAGAGGATAACAACGGAGTAATTATTTACGAGGACAAACATAAAGGTAACATATGGAAGAAGTATCTAGAACAGCTATATGAGGGACCAGAACTCACGGGACAAGAAATAGAGCATGAAGAAGTAATGGATAATAACTCAAATTATAGTGTACTGAGAGAAGAATTTGATAAAGCACTTAGAGATCTAAAAAAGAAGAAGGCTGCAGGAATTGACGAAATCCAAGCAGAACTTTGGAAAGAATCTGGCGAAAACATGCGCAGTGAGCTTTTTAAACTCATAAAGGAGATATTTAACTCAGGAAAACTTCCTGTAGACTTTACTAAGTGTAAGATTATTCCTATTCCGAAAAAAGCAACCGCAAACAAATGTGATCAGTACCGTACAATTAGCTTGCTGACACATGTGTCAAAAATACTGACAATAATTATGTCAAGAAGAATGGAATATAAGATCGAAGCCATATTGTCAGAAGACCAGTTTGGATTCAGAAAAAACATGGGTACAAGGGAAGCAATACTGGCTTTAAGAATAATTATCGAGAAAAGAATTAGAAAAGATAAGCCTACATACATAGCTTTTGTGGATATAGAAAAAGCGTTCGACAATGTCAACTGGGCAATAATGTTCAAGATGCTTAAAAAAATAGGTATAGAATACACTGAAAGGAGACTACTCTTTAATCTATACCAGAAGGAAACAGCTGTTATACGATTTGGCGAAACTGAGGAAGAAGCACGCATAAGAAAAGGAGTAAGGCAGGGTTGTACTCTCTCACCTAGCATATTCAATGCATACATCCAGGAGGCAATTAACATAATAAGAGAGAAAATACATTTGGGTATAAAGATAAATGGCAGGAAAATCGATATGCTACGGTTCGCAGACGATATAGCAGTCATAGCTGAAAATGAAGAAGATTTGCAAAGGATGCTAAGGTGTATGGAAGAAACTCTGCTCAATGAACTGAGCATGAAAATAAATACGAAAAAGACCAAAGTTCTCGTATGCAGCAGGAGCAATAATATTACGACAAGAATACATCTGCAAAATAACCAAGAAATAAAGCAAGTAGAAGAGTTCGCATACTTGGGAAGCATAGTAAGTAAGGATGGCAGAAGTAAAAAAGAAATAGTAAAGCGAATATGCCAAGCTAAGATAGCATTTAACAAAAAGAGAGGACTTTTTACTTCAAAAAATATTAGCATACGTACCAGAATATATCTCCTGAAGACATACGTATGGAGTATAATGCTGTATGGCAGTGAGACGTGGACGATTGCCAAAGAAGAGCGAAGAAGAATAGAAGCTTTCGAGATGTGGTGTTTCAGAAGAATGCTCAAAATAAGTTGGACGGGCATGGTAACAAACGAGGAAGTATTAGAAAGAATGTCCGAGAGAAGAACTTTATGGAGCAGTATCAAGAAAAGGAGAAATGAATGGATTGGACATGTATTGAGACATGGTGGGTTGCTAGGATTGATTATAGAAGGCTGCGTGGAAGGAAAAAATGCTAGGGGAAGACCACGAATGGAATATATGCAACAAATAATAGAGGACCAAGGATGTACTTCTTATGAAGAGACAAAGAGGAAAGCAAGTAACAGGGAAAAGTGGAGAATTGCTACAAACCAATCTCAGGATTGAATACTGAAGAAGAAGAATTATAGTGAATTGTTGAAGATTCGTTCCCCAGTTTTGTTATTGTGTCAGATCACCTAAGGTAATAATCATATTTTTTGTTTGTTGCTCATATACTCCACGCAGCTGGATTAATCAATTTATTTAAGTCACATGGATGACAATGGTCAATTGTTAACTCAAAAATCTCACAAATAATTGTTATTTGTATTAATTATAGATTTACTACTAATTATGTATATAGAATGTTCTTTGTATTTGTATTTATGTGTATTCACTAAAAATCACATTTATTTATATTGAAAAGTATTTATTGGCATTTTTGTCAACTGTTGTTAATATATAACTCAAGGAGACATGGTAAATTTTCGACATATCATTATTGTTAATTGTATAAAATAGAAATAATTTTATGTGAGCCAGCAACCACAATCTTCTTGCATACATTTGAATATAAAAATCCTTTCCTATTAATCACCAGATAAGCGCGATATTATTTCCAGCCCCTGGTAAAAATACCATTTGTGTTTTAAAATTACTTAAAGATTTTTCTGTCATATTGTTAAACTAAACATAGAGGTTCCCTTTAAAGAAAATTAAAGTTTAGATTTTTAACTCTGAAGGAGGAAAAAAAATTTTTTCTACATATTGTTGAAGTATTTTTAATTAGACACATTCTTTTTCTACAAAAATTAAAATATTTTAATATTTTCCATGAAAATCAGTGTCTTATCTTTAATTAATCACTCTGTATAGCTTAAAAAGACAATTTAATTAACTATCTAGAATTTAAACTTTTTGAAATAATTTTAGCGTGTAGGCATACCAAGAAAGCTGGTGTAGTTGAAAGTTATGAAAGTCATATAGCACCAATCACAGCAATTGATACAAATTGTGCAGAAGGAACTACTGATTTTAGCCATTTGTTTCTTACAAGCTCTATTGATTGGACAATAAAATTATGGAACATTAAGGTTTATTTACTTCTTTTATCGTTTAACTTTTTTAATTCATTTTTAGCTTCGATGCGAAACTGAGAAGGTATTAATTTTACTAAGATGTGTTTTTATTTTTTTGTGTCTGTTACCACTTTTTCTCAGCTCTGACTGGACTGATTTCTTTCAACGATATATTAAAAGATCATAAATTGTATCTAATTAAAAATTTACATACAAAAATTGAAAAAAATTTCCCTCGTTACCCGTAAATGAGGAAAATCTCCAAAAAAATTACAAATTTAAAAATCGCTAATTTTTTCAATTTTTTTTATTTAAAACTGCCATAACTTTTTCAAAAATTACTAAATCAATATAATTTTTTTATTTATATATACATGCATGATGTCGTTACCTATCATTTGATATATTTTATTTATAAATCTGACCCTTCGCCTGCCAACAAAGGGTATTCAAAATGACAACTTTTTCAACTTAACTTTTGAAAGTGTTCCGGACTAAAGTCTAACACTTATATATATCTTAAATTAAAGCTAATGTAATATACTTTATTATGGAAAAAAAAAATTTCAGATTTTATTTTGTTTACACGTTGAAAATAGTTACCAAATGTTATTTTTGTGTGAAAATTCTCGATATTATATTTTACATTTTTAACTTTATAATGCTATAACTTATTGAAAAGTATATGGACCAATACAATTTTTTTATGGGAAATAATATTTATATCACTCTTTCATTTGACATACTTTTTTTTTAATAACACCATTTCCTTATATATATTATAAATATATATATTTATTCATATATTACACTTATAAATCATAAAACTTGTAATCAAGATATAAATAAGTAAATAGGAGATCATGTAGCTTTTGAAATAATCCATCAATTTTTTAAAATTAAATACTATCTACAGATTTGCACCGAAGCATTTTTAATGATAATGATTTTAATCACTGTCAGATATCATTATACTTGACCCAACTATGCCACGTCCCTACTGTGCTAGTTTTTTTTTTTTTTTTTTTTTTTTTCAATACAATGTGTATTTATATTTACTATAGGAATCTAAGCCCATCCACTCATTTGAAAATAATAGTGACTATGTGAGTAGTGTAGCTTGGTCTCCTGTTCACCCAGCTGTGTTTGCAGCAATTGATGTCACGGGGAGATTAGACCTATGGAATTTAAATAATAATACTGAGTCGCCAACAGCTAGTACTATTCTTGAAAATTCACCTTTATTAAAAAGTCTTATGTGGTCTCAAAATGGTACACATTTAAGTGTTGGTGATGAATATGGTAAAATATCTGTTTTCGAAGTTGGTGAAGTAAGTCAATTATTTTAGTAGATAGATTCAATAATAATTTAACATTGTAACTATAAAGACCAATCCAATAACTTGTGATGAAAATATAACATTGTATTTTATAATTTCAATTAATAATATGATCTTTCATTACATTGTTAGTTAGTATGATTGCAAAAAATTTTTTATAATATTTATAGCAAATGACACAACCACGGCATGATGATTGGTCTAAACTTTCTAACACTTTACAAGAATTGAAGAGTAACCAGACTGATGAAATGGATAAAACTATAGCCTATAATACTACTTCATCGACTACTACTTCAGCATTCTCAAGATCATCAAATATTTTAATGAAAGCTTAGTTATTATTTATTAACTAATATAATTTAATATATAATATAAATATTTATAAATAACACAAAATGCCAATTTTCAAAGAGATAATTTTTTTGATGTATTGTAAAAATAAAATTTTAAATATATGGCATGTTTATTTAAAGATTTCTCTAACAGTTAATTTAAATTGTATACATATATTAAATTTTAAAATAAAAAAAACAATTTAATCAATTGTGAATTTTATTAAACCATTATTGAGTATTTACCAGTCTCCCTACCCAACCGATTTTGAGTATGATTTTGATCATGTTGAGTTTAGGCACTTATACTTTTGTAATAATGTTTAATTATGTTATTTTTTTAATTGTTTATAATGTTTAATGTTTAAAATTCCAGTTAAGTTAGTTTTCGGTCTTCTTTTTTTTTTCTTCGCCTTAATCCCAACTACTTGGGGTCGGCCACCCTTATCCTAAACTTCCATTTGACATGATAGTGTAGTTAGTTTTCTCTAATTTAAAAATCAAGCCTAAGTTTTGTAGATATGTCAAACTTTATGTACTTAAAATGGTTTTATATAAAATATAGGACACATTACTTTCAATAAGAATTACGTGTTTTACTAATTGATAATTTTTAAAATGGGCTAGCCAAGGTATTTTGTCGTTCTAGTCAAAATCCTAGATTTTGTCTTTAATTTTTTTTTTCATTATATATTTTGGATAAAAATACCTTAAATACAAAATTGGATTTGACATCTCAGAGCTCCAAGTCAGTTACCAATTCAGTGGCATATTTAGAAATTTACTAAAGGAAGAGTTCGTATAATTTTCAGAAAATTATACAGGCTTCCATATATCCATCCATATACTTTCTTTAACTATTATAAATTATATCAATGAGGAGGATCCAGACTTCATAAACTCATGAATACGCCATTGTTCCTTTTTGGAGTTTATACAATTTGTATTAAATAAAAATTTTCTTGTATCTAATGGGAAAGAGTTTTACTATCTGATGTATTGAGATTGAACCCATTCAAATTTTAGGCTCAAGGCAGCTGTAAAAATGTAGCCCGTGGACAGCCTTGATCCGACTTTGATTCTTTTTCAGCGTATGTTTATAATTTTACATGAATGACATGGATGCATTTAAGTTTAACCATTAAAAATGTATCTAATGTTATTAGTTATTAAATGTTATAGTTATTTAATTTATTCTTCTTGATAATAAAAATTGATATACACATAAAAATATTATTAATTCACCTTATTTAATAAAAAATGATACTCTACAATCGCAATATTATCATTACATTTCAGTCATTTTTTCTAAATTATTAATTTACACTATTTTGTTTATTTAATATTTTGATATATATGTGGCGGCTGAAACCGGTCTTATAACTTGAACTTGGCGCCACAAAATACAATTAGTGTATATATTTGTTGTTGTATTTAATTTAATTTTACGCATTTCATATTAAAATGTAAAAATTCTTCATTAAAACTACATGACGCAGTAATTATGTAATGATTACATTTGATAAAATTTACAATAATAAAATATTAAAAAAATTTTTTAATTTTCGAGTATATTTCTTACGTAAATTACAGCAAAATAACCAATTAAAGATGATAGATGATTGTGTTATTAGTTTCATTTTTAAGTAAAATATTTCGCAATTTATTTCTTTTTAATTGTTGTTTTATTATACTAAATAATCAGTAAATATTTTAATCTAGTGAACTGGACAACACAAATATAAAATGAAAATATATTGTCGTCTAATTGATAATATTTTTAAAGACAGAGCGGTACCGCTTTATCAAATGAAAAATTATGTAAAATTAAAAAATACTATCAACTATCTGGTGGATATTGTTAGTTCAAAATAGTAACATTTGCATTTAAAGTAATCTTTTTAATACTTTTCGTAAAATATAATTCGTTATTTTGTTCCGGCTTGGTCATTTAATCTCTCAATATTTTATTATATATTTTTCTATTTACTAAATAAGTAAATATCTAGAGAAAATATCACTCTTCTTCCATTATTTCCAATAAAAATTTTAATTTAGTAATTTTTTTTTAGTTTGTACTTTTAAATCTTTATTAACAATAATTTTAATAATATTTAATTTTTCTTTATTTTTGAATATACTAATAATTATTGTCATATTTGTTATACCATTATAAGATAGCACTGTTATTGTTATACTTCTAATTTATTTATTTTTTCTTTGTTTATAATTGTTGAGCTAAATATTATTTTAATAAAGGCTATAAAAAAAGAAAAAAATTCCTTATCATGTAGTATTAAAAAAAAAATGTTAAAAAAAACATCGAATGTCCTATTTATTTCATTGATACGGTAAAAAAAAACAGTTTAAAATTTCATTGTAATTGTACTTTACTTAATCCATAACCAGTGGCGCCGGAACAATTTTTGAACCGTGGGAGTTGAGCACAGCTACAAATACAGAGGAAGGTAAAAATTTTCCCGTGTTAAATGGGCTAGTTTTAAATAAAGAATATAGTAGAAAATAAAATGTTTTTAATAAAAATAAAAAAAAAATCACCCACTTATTATAATTTTAATATATTTTCTTATCAATTTTAATAATATATACGCACACTTATAATACAAATAAAAATGAAAAAGAAGTTTAATTCAACAACTCAAATTTTTCTGTAAACACATTTTCTCTCCACTGTCCGACTTATAAATTCTTTAAAAATGTCATCCAAAAGGATTTCGTTGAGTATATTTTGATTCAGATGTATCAGCAGCAAATGAGTTAAACGCTTTTGGCTCATAGTGAAACGCAAATAGGTTTTTAAACGCCTCAAGCCACTGGATATTCTTTCTGGTGTTGCTGAAGTGGCAGGTACTGTAAATAAAAATGAAAGTAGTCATTCTACTTGATCCATCAAACAATGTGTAATTTCAGGTAATGTGCTCAACACATCAACTATGTGTATTAAATTGTCAATGTATTCGCCAAAATTTAATATACTGGACAACATTATTAATTGAGCTCGCAGTTGATCAATATCAAAATCCGTCACATGAGTGGAGAATAATTCTCCTTTTTTTTTAAGTTTTTCATCATTTATTGTTCTTATAAGAATAGATTCAATGAATACTAGTTTCTCAAAACCAGACTGAGTAAACCTCCTGTGTATTCTTGAAGTAGACAATCAATTAAAGAAAATTATTCTTTTCTTAAAAATGTTTTTCCGTCGATGTTAGCTGGAAGTATTACTGAATACTCAAATCTAGCAAGAACCTTTCGAGTTCTGAATGGTTGGGGTAACTCAAGATCGAGGTGATCGGCGGTTTGTTGTTTTGTTTTATTCCAAACATCATCAAAAACCAAATCATTGTGAAAAGTTTCAAGAGTTTTAATTAATATATTAAATGTATGTTTTGCACCACTAGCAGCATACGATGGGCATTGTAGTGCAGTAGCTAATTGTTCACATGGACCAAAAATTAATGATATAGAGTTTAGCGAAAAGAGAGTTTCGAATTTCCAAAGCTTTATCTCATATCCTCGTAGAGATGCATGTCTGTCTTAAGCAATTGAATTTGATTCTTTTAAAATATCTCCAACCGTTAAAATAATTCATTCATAGTTTTGTATAAATCTGTTAATCGCTTTTACTCGAACTGTCCATAGTGTTGGACAAAGCGAAAAAATTCCTGGCATTATTTTGGTGTTCATGAATATTTTCATCATTTGAAGAGGAAGGGAGAACAACATCGGAAAACTTATTTTTTCGTTTTGCTAAATCTAGTATGGTAATGCTTACAAATCTTACTAAATTTAGAGTGTCATTGGCTAAATCTACAGTCTTAATAGTATCACATAAAGCCAAGTCCAATGAATAAAATATATTTGGGTTGAACTTCAGAAATTCGTTTTTGCACTCCACTAATTCATACTTCAGACATATTGGCAGCTATATCGAAACAAAGTCCCCTAACATTTTCAAAATTTAGACATATTTTGATTGACAAGATCTTCCACTTGTTTTAGGAAAAACAAACTCTTTTATCGGTATAAACTGTTCAATCAAATTTAAATTTGTTATTGACACGCGATCGTGTGATTTATTTGAATGGGTGGTAATGTATATTACTTCTTATGTTGATGATTTTGGTTGTACGTTTTCATTTTCTAGTTAACAAATTTAAATAATTAATTAAAAAACTGTCTATAATAAATTGCACATATAAAGTATTTTTGTTTAAAATATTGTTTAATTTATTATGACATTAAAAATACGTTATTAAATGTATAAATCAAATGATATGTTAAAACTGTCAGTAGACAGTGACTTAATTAACATTCGGTATATTATGAATTACTTACCGTTACCGTTGTCTTTTGTATTCTTAGATCTTTTCTGAAAAATTGCTGTTATTTTACTTGTTCGTTTCATCATAACCACGTATTCACAAATCACAATTATATAAATTATAACTCAATTGTGTCCAATCACGTCGATTATTGATAACCAAAAGATTCATGAAATAAATTAGGTTACAAATCTATTATACAGACGCGATAATGATTTCTTGTTCTGAAAGCTATTATTCTATTTTGGGTGTTACGGTTAAATATTAAATCGTTTCATTTTCTAAATAATGAGTAATTATTTCCATGTTATCTTATTCTAATATACATACCTCATATACTTTATAAAATATTAACTACTGCATCCATAGTACATACAAGTTATTTCTAAATAAAATAATTTGTTTACTGTATGTGTAAGTTAATACTTAAAAATAGACAGTTTATTAAATATATTTGAGTTTTGTTTCTATATTCAAAATAAAAGTTAAAGACTTTAGGAGATGAACTATGTATTTTAGTCACGGGAGCCTGATTCTAGGAAACTGTCTATGAAGGCTATGCCCTCACAACATTTTTCCCGTGGAGGCAGTTGTCCCCATTGCCCCCCCTTTGTTCCGGAGCCAATGTCCATAACGACGAGCGTACAGGCAGTTAATTCTAAAAATAAATTGCTAATAATAATAATATACTAATATTTTATCATATGGACGACGCTGCCGATCGTCCAAAACCCGAACATAAGATTGCAGCTGAACTGTATCATTTATTCTGTATATTATATACGTCTCAGAATATTGCTCGGACGACGCTGCCGATCGTTCAAACATGTCTGTGCATGCGTACCAGCCTATATTGAGGGAAACTTCTGTTCGTACATGACAAATGTATTAACTATTTTACTATTTAAAAATTTGCATTTTTAATAAAAATGTAGAATTAAGAATATACAAATCAACTTTCTTCTTTTAATTAATTTTAGTAGGGAGGTGCGATCGTCCCGTCGTCCAAGCCAACACTGACCTAAACATTTTTGTATGAAATGATAGAATAAAATTTATTATAATTAATAAAGACGACAATTTGTATGAGAATTTTGAAAGGTTGCTTAATAATAAAAGAAATAAGAATGATAAAAATTATCATTTTGATAACTATAATTTACACTTATGATGCTTATTAATTTATAGATTTTTTTGTTTTTATGGCATAGAAATTTGGCTTTTATATCATATAAATATAAATATTTATTAATAAGCTTTAGAATCAATGAATACCATGAAAAATTTTCAAAACCTACAATAATTGTTAAAATAGTTTTATACTTAATCTAAAAAAGTTCATAAATATTTATAATAATAACTACACAATACTAGTATAATTAAATAATAAAAAAGTAAAACATTAGTCATTCAATAAATTTTTCATATTGACTAGTTAAAAACGCTTGCCTAAGAGAAAGAGTTTTTTGTAGGACAATTGTACCTCTTTAATTCTTTCGACTTTCATTTTTATTCTCAAGAGAAAGCAATAATGTGACAATTAACTCAATACTTTTGAATCGTATATTTGATAATTTAAAATGAAGTACTAAAGTTCTTAAAAAAAAAAACCAAAAATTAATTGATTTTTTGTATCTACTTATTTTTGCTTTTTTATACATATCTACTAACTAATGATGTAAAGAGCTAAACACTAACTATAGAGACACAAATGACAATAAAAATTGTATACTTTTTTACCAATAGAAAAGTATTTCTAACATGGAAAAAATTTACTTATGACCTCACTAGGACATTAGTAACTAACGTTACGTTATCATAGATAAATTTTATATAAAAAAAAAATTTAGCTTGATTCTAATTTTTAAAAATTTTCAAGGCAAGGTTTGGGTTAAGTGCCTTTAGGCAGTTTTTAAAAATATATCTTCTTTGGTATTTAATCAAATATATAACTATTATTAGAATACTTAGATGGATGAGTGGAGTGAATAGAGAATATAGGATAAGGAACAAACATATAATAGGGAGTATAGATTTAGCGTCAATCGTGGAAAAGATGAAAGAAAATAGACTTAGATGGTTTGATCATGTTATGAAGAGAGAGAAACCGAAAGCTGTAAGAACAGGAAATTAATGTTGAAAGAAAAAGAGGTAAAGGAAACCAAAAAAAGAAATGGAGGTTTGTTATTAAATGTGATGTGAGGATGGCTGATGTACGCGTAGATAATGTGGAAGATCTTGTCAAGTGGAAGTTTAGGATAAAGACTAGTTCAGACTATGCCAGTAATTTAGTCGAGTGGTAAGTGATTTACTAACTACTAAAAGATTTAGTAACTGAAAAGTGTTCAAACAAAACTAGGGTTTAAAACTGTTTTAGTACATTAGTAGTCGTTTTGGTGCTGTGAAAAGGGAAAGAGGGGGAGCTACTCGACCAAAAAAATAGAATAGAATGGACTGACTAAATTAAATTACTTTACTAAACTACTCGACTAAATCTATTTGTTCATACATGATTAGTTACTAAAATACTCTCTACTTGACTAAATTACTGGCATAGTCTGAACTAGTCTTAAGGGTGGCCGACCCCAAGTAGTTAGGATAAAAGAGAGCACAAAGAAGATAAACATTACTAGAATACTAACTACGCATCAAGATGGCCCCCTAAAATTTAGATCCTAGACAATTACCTTGTTTGCTTAGGGCCTAGGCCAAAATACGGCACTAGTTAGAATATTAATCATTACACGTAGTAACACATAATGCGTAAAACATATTATTTTATTAATTATAAATTTCAAATCTAGAGAATAAAAGATTAAAATTGTAAATTAAGGCAGCAATTACTGTTGTTTGCGAATGTATGAATGATTAAGGTCGCGTTAAAATTGTGCAAAACAAGAGGGGAATGACGGCGACGAGATGGCGCTCCTAAGTGTCGCGTCAACAGACTAGTGACATCCAAGGACAATGAACGGCCTTTAGAAAACCGGTATACACCGAAAAAATTCCAGACGATATTTATGGTTTGTGATCCAAACAATGTATTCATAATTATCTTAAATATCTCATGTGAATAAGTTGCAGTGAACATTGATAAACAATTCTTCAAACACCTGTTAACAATTGTTTGTTAACCAAGATATGAAATAAGTCTAAACCAAGATAAAATTATTATCATTTTCTAATTTATCTTCTGTATCACACAATATATTCTTAAATATATAAAATTAAAAAGTAAATACCTAATAAGAGTTATTATAAATTATTTTTTCTCTTAAATTTGGATATAATGTATATTTTACGACAATAATATTAAATTATTAAATAAATATAAATGGTTAGTTTGAAAAAATATAACTTACAATTAGATTTAGCTCGTTTGTTTGATTTGTGGCCTGTGCTTTCACCAAATCCATAATTAATTTTAATCGTTTAGTTTTTATAAATTATTTTGTAATATTTTTAAACTAAACATTCAATGTATTATCGTGAATAAATAATAAGGATTAATAGAGTGATGACCATGTCGAGACCATAATATTCTTAACAATATCAGTTAAGTAAATGAAAAAATAATATATCAAATAATCATTATTTTTTATTTATAAAATTTGACTGAAGTTATGTCACGTACATACCCTATTTTACCAATGTATTATAAACATAAGCCAATACACGGTAACTCCATTATTTTTCATGTGATATACTAAGTTTTTGGATTTACCGTGTTTTCGCTTACAAAACATCAAATATATTGGACTTACCGTATATTTTCTTATTTTAAATTTCATTTTTAGATGGGTTTTAATAGGAAATATGCTATTTTTACATCAAAAATCGGTGTAAAACCACTAATTTTACATATAGAAACAAAAAAAAAAATTTTTTTAATTTTGGAATTACCCTGTTTTCGCTTAGCACGGCAGTATGGTACATAATAATTTCTGGTCATTAGAAATCAACTTCTACTTCCTCCTAGGTTTAAAGCCAAAATATTAAACGGGGGAAATGTCTTTAAAATATTTTAACTCTCTTCATGCAATATTATCAAGATTACCCTTATGACTACAATGTACCTTAAAATACAATTCGACGGGATGCAGATACCAAGAAACCTGTAGAATGTGTACCTATGCACATCCATTTAAAAAAAGAATCCAAAATATAAAATAATATTATGTATATATAAAGAAAAGATAAACTGTGTAAGGAAAATTATTTTATGTTTTCTGTGCTAGTGCAATTAAAAAAATTGCAAAATATTTTATTTTTGAAAATACTAATCCGTATTTTTGTTAGGTATGTAAGACGTGGGTAGCAGTAATGTTGCTCTGTGTAGTAAAATAACTTTATACGGGCTTGTAGATGATACATAAAAAATAATTATAATATTATAGTTTGAAAATAGAATTGTTTTTTCAATCTTTTTACATTTAAAAATACTCACATGTATATTTTTTAATATTTTACTATATACATAATAGTATTCAAATATTTTGATTGATATTAAATCATATAATGATAAAATATTACTATACAATTTTTTTGACTTAGATTAATAGTGCTTAATAAATCAATATAACGTTGTTTTAATAATATCAGTATATGTTCTTATGATCTATAATTTTTCAATTATGTTAAGTTCAAGAACGATATTAATTATTAATACAAAAATATTTTTGTAAATAATAGTTAAATGTGATATTTCATTATTTAATCACATTAAAGGAACCACTACTGATGGATCTAAATAATCAATAAATAATTCAAACTGTATTGGTAGCTTGAATTATTATTAATCATATACATTATTACACAATGTTATAATTTTATCAAAAATATTTTTTGATATAATCTGTTGTGGAGATTCACACGGGGTGTAATTAAAAGGGATAAAGTTTGTCCTTTCAAAATTATCGTAATTAGCTAAAATTATCTATTGAATTTCTTATAGCAACAAATAACAGTTTATCCAAAATTGAAAAAAATTACTAATACTATAGACAGGGATGATTCTAGAGTATGATTCTAGGACATTAGAGTATGAATTTTGTCGACTAAAATACCTTAAATTAATGAACAAAAAAAAATGTTTATAATATTTTTTTAGAAAAGTAGTAAAGTAATCGGCAGATTTTATTTAAGTTGAGGAATTATTTTTCCTTAATGAACCAAACGCGGATCCATAAAAAATTGTAAGAGGGATTCATTTAATTAAATTTAACCACCATGAGAGATAACCATTTTTACAAAAATCCAAATTTAAGAACAAATTATCTAAAAAAAATTTTTGCAATTAGTATAAATGAGATGATCCAATGATTTGATATTACAACAATTTAGATTGGTAGGTGACACTTATGATTTTTGGATATGTCCGTGAAATAAACTAGATTATCAAAAAAAAAATTTATCAAAAACGACTATAACACAAAAATTGTTACATTTTAGAAGAGGTTGCGACACTAAATTTCTATTAATACCCATTTGGTTGCACTACTGTTGAAGTGTATTTATTATTTTTCTGAAATACTAAATTTAAGTTAACATAAACGATTTTAATAATAATAATATAATGTCATTGTTTCTATGATAATGGTAAAATATTAAATTTTATATTCCATCACATTGTAATATATACCACTAAGGAAAATAAAATTTAATGATGTTGCGTTAAAGGTTTACGCATCGTAATTTTCCACAAAAGTGCCATTCACATAAATTTACTTAACATACATCAAAGATTTCTTTTTTTTATCAAATTCCATATTATAACAGATATGATACATTTAAAAATTATACAACAGCTGAGTAGACAATTTTCTAAGTTCAACAAAATATTTAGAAATTTACTACAATAATTCACGTAAACCGTCGACGATAAACGGCACAATCCTATTGTTCTTTGTAGTGAGAAGGAATGCGGATCCGCTGAGATGATGGCAACCGGCTCTGCACGTAGACCAGGGTAACCGATAATATATGTATTTACATACTATTAAACATAAACAGACTCTGTGTAACTAACGTCAGTGTTCGGTACTTGAACGCGACGGATTATTTTTTATGTACCTTCTGACGTATTGATGTATACGGCGTGTGTGAGTAGACAATCGGTGGGATTTCCCGACCGAAATCCGGCTCGTTAGTAAACATGCATTTCAAATTAACGTAAGACGCACTGCGAATAAAAAAGATGCCCGTCCGCGTGCAATGTTTATTTTTAGAAACCATTCGCGTTGTATTGTACCATTGTAATATAAATAGAATTTAATCTGTATGTAGTGTAGTCTAAATCGAGTAGTAAGTCTGTTTTGTATAAGCTGAGAATATTTCTCTTATTTATTTACAATGTTTTATATTTTCCCATAGTAAATATAATTTACATTATATCTGTAGGATTTTGGTAAGCGATCAAATTTTCGTAATATGTTAAAATATTTTCGTTTGCTCAAAATTTAAGTTAATTAGTGGTTATTAATTTTTAGTATAAATTAACTTTAAAGTAGAGAAGAACACTTTAATATGAGGGTTTATTTTATACATAGACATTTGACGAAAAATTTAATAACTCATCGAATGACCATATTATCATAACCATGTGGATTACTATGACGTTAACTATCAAGAAACTAAATCTCCACTAGGTTATTGAACCAATATCAGAGGATTTATATAATATAGGTATCCTAAGATGACTAAATAAATTTTAGTTTCTAGTAAAAGATATAAATATGAAAATGTGTACATAAACTATTTATTTAAATGTAGGTAATAAAATAAATGAGTGGTTTGTTATTTTCGAAATAGACTAATTTAAAATTTGTTAGCTTACTTTGAAATTAACTATTGAATTCAGAACTATAAGGATCAATAAGAAAATTTCAAAATAGTTTCAATGTTTAGTTAACATGGATGTAATTTGATAGTGGCTTAATTGAAAATGTGGCACATTGAGAAAAAAACATTTTTAATTGAAATTTTATTCTTTATTCTCCTATTTCATCAATTATAAGTATTTAACATAGGTACAACTATAGTGTTGCTAAGAAGATTTATCTATGAGCCTAAGAATGTCTTAAACCGAAATTAGCATTTCCAAAAAAAGAAAATTCATTGATAATTTTAAATAAAAATACATGAGCGTAACTATAATAATTTTTTTAAAGATGCTAAACTAATTTTCCCCGAAGCCTAAAATTTGTTTTAAATTATTGCCTAAGCTTTTGATAAACAAATATTGAATTAAATTTTAATAACTATAATGAAAACATTATAGTTATTAAAATTTAATTATAATTACTTAATATAATTTTTATATCATCAAGTGTGCAGAAAAATAAATATGCAATCTTATGAGGCTTTTTTTTTTTTTTTTTTGCGCGTATTTATGTACTTATAATCAATAGTGTATTTATAGAAGTACTTGGAAGTATATACTTATTGGCGACATTTGGAGGACAGGCTTAGTTTCTTCAATATTTAAGCATAAATCATAAAAAAATACTCTTAGAAATATTTTAGGATGGGAGAAATTCATCTTGAAACAAGAATCGTTTAAAAAGTTTTTTTTTAATTGGGTATGTTGATTTATAATAATTAACTAAAATAAAATGTTACAAAAAATTTATTGTAAAATTTTACAATATAAATATTTATCACCAATGTCAATGGCATTTCTAGAATTATTTCTGGTTGGGATTATTTATTTGAAAGCTTTTTCTAACCTATTCATCATTATATCCAAATCATGCATTTAATTAAATTAAAGTTTTTGACATGAAACCCTCTTAAATATGCTTTTGATGAATACTAAAATATTCATATGAAAATAACATAATAATATGAATATAAAAAGTATCACTTTAAACCCTTTAAGTCTTAACTCTCAAAAGTTACAACTGAACACTCGTCACGCATACGAAGACGTCATTGTAAATTATATTATTTAGTTTTAAACAAACAAAAAAAGTGAATTTAAAAATAACGATAATGTAAATTGAAGGCACTCTGCTTGAGACTAATGACGCAGAGATTCAAATTTCAGTGAAATATTTCTTTACAAACGTAATACTTATGCTGGACATGTGTTAGATATTTATCGTAAACCAAACATAACATTTTTATTAAATAATTTGCGTTGGTATGTAACCGAGCCGATTCTCTAACAGCTTAGTGAATGTCAAGGACTCGGATGAGCGATGCAATGTTGAGTATGTAACTTAGAACGATTGTATTGGCGCTTGTGTGAGAAAACCGTTCCAAATTTTCCGGAATCTATAGTGCACAGCAGGCGCCAGCCGTTATTACTTTCGTGGCGTGCGCAAGCGCAATCGTTGCCGCCAACCAATTCCGGCCATCGGATTCACCTCAAATCTCAGCTTCATCTGTGATTACAGTCAGTGTGTTTCAAGACGCGCATTGTGAGACTTTATGAAATTCGAGACGGTTCTAAAAGAACTTAACACGATGAGACCTTATATTTTTTTATACCTATTTACAGCTTTTATAGTTGCAAGCACTTCTGGCTCTGCTATACCAATGTGGGAATTTCTTAGTCGTGGAGAAAAGGTATGTCACAATAATACGTAATTCAATTTGAAGTTATTTGGCGCGAAAGTTTTTATTTGATTGTTAAAAAATATATTACCTTTTACGTTTAATAAAATAATATTTTAAGTTTAATATAAGCTCCAGTTATTTACCTGGGCTAGATTTTACAAACGTATCAAGTGTAGGCAAAATTTAAAGAACAAGTGGGAATTTGACATAAATCATAGAAAACTAAATTAAAACATTTATTGTATTTAAATAGGGTATTAACTAATTAAAATTTTAAATTTACTAAATGTCACTTAAACAAGGATTACCCTCATTTAATTTAATTAAATATTGAAATATTACGATGCAGTAAGAGAGAAATGAATAAATGTATTTAATCTACATGGGTTAGACTAACTACGAAGTCCAAGGGGCAACATCTCTCGAGCGGCTCCAGAAATTTTGAATTTCTAGACTTCGTATATAGTTAAAATATTTTTAACTGTATTAAATGATAGTTTATGTCGTTTAATATTATTAATTATAATTACGACGACAAAATAGCGATTTTTCAGAGATTTGAAATCGTTTCTTTTGTAGTAAGTAATTAAAATGTCCTGTAATTTTTGTCTATATGTTTATATGATAGATATATGCTTTCAGCTTTCTATAGTGTTTTTGAAATGGTGATTTATCCTCTTAATAAATTATTAATATAAATCACCAATATTTTTAAAATTAATACTACATTAATAATTCTAAGCGTGATAATTTTTTTATTATTTAAATGATAGTTTTTACAAAAAAATAAAACATTAAAAATATAGAATATAATGAGGACTATTAGTAAAGAAATAAGATAATCGTAATTGAATAAATTAAGGAAATTTTATAAAAACAGGTTGTCCCAATAAAATGGGCATATTGAACTGAATGTCTGCAAGATATCTGATAGATGTCTAGGCCCTACAATTACAACTTGCCCGAAGATATTTTCTTGTTAGTAAATAAAATACAATTCAAAAATGCGGTCGAGAAAAATTTTCATGTAAGAATGTTTTGGTAATTACTTATCAGGGTTACAAAGATTTTAACATACCAAAAAAAAAAACTTGTAACTGCTTTTTAGATTTCACTTTAAACAGAGTGGGTAAAATAATTCAATTTTTTTATTAACAAAAATACCAAAAACGTGTTGGTTCCACATAAAATCACTGTACGTTATATATTATGGTGTATACCGGTTGGATCGTCCAACTAGGAATAAAGATAAAGACGCGTCATTAGTGGTTTAAACAAGAATAAGTTATCACCTACAGAAGTAATCCGTTATATCTATTGTATATCAATTCTTAATAACGTTTCTGTTTTTTTAACATTAAAATAATAATTTTGAATATTTTCACATTATTTTTTCATATATTATTACCAAGAGTGGTGAACAGTTTAATTGTTTTTCATGATAAACTTAAATAAAAAAAATAACGCTTGTGTGTTATATTACAATCTTGTAATTGACCTTTATTTTTTTGTTAAAGTAGTTATCATATAAAGGCGGTTAAAGATATGTTTCGTTCTTATCTTATAATTGTAATAACTAGTTGTATATAGTGTTGTTTTACTTGCGTCTTAATTAACACCAACCCGTCATTGATCTTTTTATACTTATCTGTATTAAGTTTATCAAAACTTAAAAAAAAAATCGATTATATGTAAATTCTATTCTTTCGCACTTGATTTATGTTAATTTTGAACACTTGGCCTAAAAGTTCTGTTTTGCTAACACTAGGTCTATGAAAAGACATCATTAATATTTTCCATTATTTATGTTTTACTAAATCTTAACTAGCTTATTTAGATTTTGTCGAAGCAAAAATATTTTTCTTTTATCGCAAAAAAACAATTTAATAAAAATAGTTTTTCTATAGAACTGCTTAATCCTTAGTCCCGGTGCTGATTTTTATAATGCTAATACCAATTATCATATACACTTAAATCTTTCTAGGAATCATTTGTTTGTTATATAACAAATTTTATGATATTTTCTATTTGATTTTCAGTCTATTAATTAGACTTCTGTATACACAGAATAGTTCTCTATTCAATGTATTTCCGTTACCTACTGTACTGAGAGCTAGTGTTTTTCTATCACTTGTTAACACTTATGATTTGTTATCCAAGTAGGAACAACCAGTAACAAACGAAACTAAGCGTTAGTGTAAATAAACAAGTCTTTGCTGCACCGCATCACATATCTTGTAGTATTTCTTTATAATAATAATTATAAAACCATTAATTATAATTATTCATGTTGAATAAAATACAGAATTTATATTTGCATATTTATTTAATTTTAATTTTCTATGTATTTCTGAGTTAAATATAATAATTGCTTAAATTTAAAGCAAATGTAACAAATTATACTGTTTGTTGAATAAGTAAAGTAAACTGATTATTGATACGAACAACGAGAACAGCGGAAATCCTTTTAAGTAACTATTTCAAAAATGCATTTAGACTAATAAAATATAACTAAAACAATTTTAGGCCTCTAAAAATGCCTAGAAAATCACTTAATCATAGTTTTTGACAAAAATTGGAGTTATCCATTTTGATTATTTAGTATGTCAAAGAATTTCAATTTAGTAAACTGTCAAATCAAATTTAAAAGTATAAAAATTGCTCGTACAAAAAAAATAATTATTACATTTATAACCACTCTTAGATTGTATATTCTTCTTAGTGTAGTTTTTAATATATATATTTTTTAGTGTATTTGAATCTTTTATATATTATTGAAGCCTAATAAAACATAAGTACAGATGCTCGAGAAGTCTAGGGCTATAAAATATTTATGGTCCTCAATTTTTGAACCCTAAATGACCATTGTTCATATTATTTTACTGTAAGAATATCCCTAATATTTTTACTAACCAAGATCTCTATCATTTTTTTTTTGTAGCTCTTTATGTCTATATGAACCTCGAACTTTACTTGTTTTTTGTTTACTGATTAGGGGTTATCCTTCGTGTCACATATTTATTAGTTGATTTACGCTCGAATTGTTTAAATATTCTGTTTTGCATATTATAGGAAGTTGTACTAATTTAACGATTCCTTCATTGTAACCTTTCCTTGTTCTTCGATTTACGCGAGGCTACAGATTCTATCATAAACTTTATAGCGCACAATTATAAATGTTAGCTGTGTACTATTTATTCGTAGAAACTATCTATGGACGCGGAAGTGCTTGACTTTCTCTAGTTTTGAACATGCTAGTATGCATGGCAAGTTAGTTTTATGGACAATGACAAACTTAAGTACTATGTCGTAAAAATGCATTTTATAGACGTAAAAAGTAACTGCATAAGTATGATTCATTTAAACTTGACATTAAGTAATATTGTATATTGCCTATTTTGTTAATATTATCTTTTTTATGAGTATTAGTAAATCAGGATCTAATTAACACAAAAAAAATATTGGTTCCCTTGACAATTGACTTTAATTTAATTAAATCCCGTTGTCGTTGCCTTACAGCTACCACGATACCTAACAGAAATTAGTTAGATTAGAATAGTTTACATTTTAAATTTTAAGCACATAAAAAAAAACCCAGCACAGTGGGGTCGTGGCATAGTTGGGTCCAGTATAGATGATATCAGACAGTGATTAAAATCACTATCATAAAAAACGCTTCGATGCAAATCTGTAGATAGTGTTTAATTTAAAAAAAAAAATTTGTTAAAATAGCATATTTTTGAATATGGTAGCCATTGCGCATAGAAGATAGGTCGTCGGGACAAATTTTTTTTTTCATTTTATATTACATAAAATAAGCTTTCATTTGATATATGTTTAAAGGACGAAGTATTTCCGGAACATTTTCAAAAATTAATTTGAAAAAGTTAATTTTTGTAAAAAAGTTGCTATTTTAAATCCCCCCTAATGAGTAGGTTAAGTGATAGATTTCCAAAAAAATTATATCAAGTGAAAGGGGAATATCTAAGGTTTCAATAAAAAAAATATTATTTTTTTTTGTTCATTTTTGAAAAAGTTATGACAGTTTTAAGTACAAAAAACATACCGATAAAAGGTAATTTTTATTGCAAACATTACATTTTTTTTTAATTTTCGACAGCCATTTGCACATAGAAGATAAGATGTCGGGACAAATTTTTTTTTTTCATTTGATAGTATATAACATAACCTTAGATTTAATATATGTTTAAAGGACGCAGTATTTCCGGAACATTTTCAAAAGTTCAGTTGAAAAAGATCTATGTTTTTTTTAATATTTCAAGTTTTGAACGCCCCCTATATAAGGGGAAATTGTCCAATTTTAATAAAAAGTATGTCAANGGGAAAGTGTCCAATTTTAATAAAAAGTATGTCACATGAAAGATGTACTTATAATGTATTTTGAAAATAAAAATTTGTGCTGATATATACATTTTTCAAAAAGTTATAGCATTTTTAAGTTGAAAATTAAAAATTGAAAATCGAAAATTTTAACACAAAAATAGTGTTTTTTTAACTACGGCAACCGTTTACATGCAGAAGATAAAGTGTCGGGACAAATTTTTTTTTTTCATTTTATAGTACATAAAATAAGCTTTAATTTGATATATGTTTAAAGGACGCAGTATTTCCGGAACATTTTCAAAAATTAAGTTGAAAAAGTTAGTTTTTGTAAAAAAGTTGCTATTTTAAATCCCCCCTGTGAGCAGAATAAGTGTTAGATTTTCAAAAAAAAATGATATCAAATGAAAGAAAATTACCTAAGGTTTCAATATAAAGAAATATTATTTTGATTAGTTAATATTTGAAAAAGTTATGGCAGTTTTAAGTACAAAAAACATCGTTATAAAAGGTGATTTTTATCGCAAATATTACATTTTTTTTATAATTTCGACAGCCATTTGCACATAGAAGATAAGGTGTCGGGACAAATTTTTTTTTTTCATTTTATAGTACATAAAAAAAACTTTAATTTGATATATGTTTAAAGGACGCAGTATTTCCGGAACATTTTCAAAAGTTCAGTTGAAAAAGATCTATGTTTTTTTTAATATTTCAAGTTTTGAACGCACCCTATATAAGGGGAAAGTGTCCAATTTTAATAAAAAGTATGTCACATGAAAGATGTACTTATAATGTATTTTGAAAATAAAAATTTGTGCTGATATATACATTTTTCAAAAAGTTATAGAATTTTTAAGTTGAAAATTTAAAATCGAAAATTTTAACAAAAAAATAGTGTTTTTTTAACTACAGCAGCCGTTTAAATTTTAAATGTAGAAAAAAAAGNAACTACAGCAGCCGTTTAAATGTAGAAGAAAAAGTGTCGGGACAAATTTTTTTATTTTATTTTATAGTACATAAAATAAGCTTTAATTTGATATATGTTTAAAGGACGTAGTATTTTTGGAACATTTTCAAAAATTAAGTTGAAAAAGTTAGTTTTTGTAAAAAAGTTGCTATTTTAAATCCCCCCTAATGAGCAGGTTAAGTGATAGATTTTCAAAAAAATGATATCAAATGAAAGGTAAATATCTAAGGTTTTAGTATAAAAAAAAATTATGTTGATTTGTTGATTTTTCAAAAAGTTATGGAAGTTTTAAGAAAAAAAAGTGAAAAAATTTCGAAAATTAGCGATTTTTAAATTTGTAATTTTTTTGGATATTTCCCTCATTGGCGGGGAACGAGGGAATTTCAATTTTTAAGTTTAATGTCTTCAACTAGATACGATTTGTGATCTTTTGACGTATTTTTGAAAGAAATCGGGGTTCAGTGAGAGCTGAGAAAAAGTGGCAACAGACATAAAAAAAAAAAAAACACATCATAGTAAAATTAATACCTTCGCATCGAAGCTAAAAAATAGTGGAATCATTACAGATTTCAATTTATTTACTTATTTAAGATGTGTTTTGATGTATTTAATTGGTGCCCTATATTAAATTATTTTTATGTTTATTAACTGATAATTTTTTTTTAGATGAGTCACTTATTCAACATGTTTGTAAAGCAAGTAGCAGATTTTTGTGATTCGTCTACAATGCCAGGTAAACTTTTCACCTTAATTTAAAATTTTATTCAATATTTAACATATTTTATCAATTTTCTGTTAACCATTGATATTTCACCGAATAACCTACTATAAAGCGTTAGAAAAATCACTATACGTATTGTGCCAGTTATTTAATATTAGGAATCTAACGGAACGCTTCCTACTTTTTTATTTGTGTTACTGTAGAATGTAGTATGACAAAATTATTGTAACTATTTTTTTTCCCATGAAAGTGGTTTATTCTCGTTATTGCATAGAAGTAAAAATTGTGACCAGGGATGAATTTAAAACTAATGAGGGAAACGTTTCAATTTTTTTTACCTAGTTTTCTTGATAGACTTTCAAGGAAACTTGTCTGATATATTAAACTTTTTAAATCATGAAATGTAAACGCAGTGTCTTATGAATCGTTTATTATTGTGATACATTCTAATTTCTCCATTCATCATTCATTGTTTCCCGGTAAGTTCATCGTCGTCAAGTTAATTGGCATGTCACCATGAAGGTTATTGCCTCTCGTTATTGCGGGTCACGGTTAAAGTGTTAAATGTTTAAAATATTCATTTCCTCTCAAACTTGTCAATCGTCGTTGTTATTAATGATTTTATTTATACATCTAAGAAATTTAACCAATTACTTTTAAAAAATAAGTTTTTACATTTATTTGAGTTTCCTTGTTATGTATCTAATAAAATATTAGGCATTACATCCATAAATGTTTTACACGAAAGTTCCATCAAAAGTTTATTATTTCCCGTTTAAAAAGCCATGAACTTTTTAATTTAAAGTTATGAAAATTGAATACCATAGTCGTCAGGGCACTCACTTGGGAATAGGGTTGCATAGTATTGGAATTCTATTTCGAAATGTGTCTAGATTACGTTTCGACGAGCTTTATTTTTGGTCATTATTTGAGAGAAAAAAAATATTTTGTTCATTTATAAACTATTTGCGGGAGTACAATTAAAATTGTAAATTACAGTAACTATCAAGTTATGACGAGTTTCATTAAATGAAAAATGATGTTTTTCAATAGGGTATTTATAAAATAATTTAGAGGAGGGGTTTAAATTTGTATGACATTTTAAATAAATTCTTTTAGTGTTACAAACTGATAAGACCAAAAATTCTAAAATAACACATACTTTTGATGAAAATTTATAATAACGTATTATTTCTTGTGTATTCTTTTTTTGTTAGGTAAAACTCTTTTAGAAACTTGGAGAAATAATTGATTTTAATTGTAATAATAATAATAATAATAAGTTATTTCCATTTTTTTTTTCAGATTGTACTAAAGTATTACTAATGTATGGATTAACTAACTTGGCGAAAATGGGAGATGACAGTTTAGACAAAATGGACCCATATCAAAGAGGTTCTACTTCAATGAGTATGTGTTATTAATAAATATTGAAATTTATAGCTTTTAACAAATTAAGAATAGTAACTTGTGTTTATTTAATGTAAATATAAATCAATATTTAAGTCGCGCTACTAAATGAAATAATATTAAGTGTGAAACCGATCTACTAGGCTAGTATTAATCAAGGAATTCGTGCAGTGTACATGATTTTCCAATAATCTAAATTTATATTCATATAATTATAATTACGAATGTACAGTGGTGTAGATGATAGTGGTTAAAGGGGCTATACCCCCCTTAATATTAAAATTATTTCAATAATCTACTCGGAGACATTAAAAATTTACTTTCTTTAATTAGTATTTGATAGAACGATAATTTATATTTTTAATTTAATGTTGAGTATATTATATATATTTATTAATTACGTTTTTTTTTTAGTTTGGGACTCTATGATGAAAGGAGGTTATAGGCCATCAGAAACAACTGGCAACAGTCATGTAAATGAGAATACTGATCCATTAGGTAATTATAAGTACTTATTTTTTGTATAATAATAATAGTTCAAAGTATTTTTAAAAAATTCAACCTTTGGCAACTACACGACCTATAAATAGTTAAGTAGGTATGAAATCCCTAAATTTCTTTAGCTCCAAAGTTATAGAGCCTCCAAAAAAGACTTATTATTTTTACTAAATATTAGAAATGTTAATGCTATAGATCAAGCTATAGCAAATGTACATAAAATATACCTTATGAGAACGATGGGTGAAATACCCCATTAATTTTCCATTGGATATTAACTATAGAAAATGATACAAAATCTTCCAATAAAAGTTTTCTGATACTGTATAGAACTTTTATGTACCCACTGTCAGCTTTAGATATGGTCAACACATATGACAGAATAGGGTACCAAACTTTAAAGGGTGCATCAGTAATAATTCCATTTAATGTTCCAGATTTTCTGAGTGGATTTCCTGTTTTTTAAAAAATTTTTATGCATTTTTTGTTAACACATAATAATGACTGCACGGAGTGCTAAAATGCCTAAATCATTGAATAGTTTTATTGAAGAAATAAATTGTTTACCTTAATTTATTTTAGAAACAAGTGGTGGGAATGATTTGGGATCAGCATCAAATAATGTTGAAGATATAGCTTCACCACCAGGTGGTTACGTTATTGGACCAATGGTTGTTAGGGTCATGCCTGATGGTCGTCCAGTACCTGGTGATTCCCAAAAACCATTACCTAAAGATGAAGACGCAGAAGAATATATGGCAATGCGTTCAAAACCTATGCCATCTGTGATTGATATGCTAAATCAACAAAAACGTCATGATAAATCTATTTTAAGACCTTATAGATTTACATCTAAATTAATAAACTAATTCTTACTGTATTTCCTCTCAACAACTTGGTACAGTTTCAGATTTAATATTTATTTATTTATTATATTATTAAATTAGTAATCAAGTAAAATATTTCTGAAAGTTTTGTATGGAGAAGTATTTCATCTTGTATAATTCTTTTTTGACTTTATTGTTTTTATTTTTACTAGTTTTTATTGTATCAGGGTCCTAAATAATTGTAAAATAGTTCTTTAATTTAATTTTGTAGTGATACTATTATTTATTTATTTGTGATAAGTTTTATTTATTTGTAAATAGTACTGTTAGGTACCATTGTTGTGATATTTCTATTAAAATTAATAATTAATATTTGTATTAATTAAATATTTTGATACTAAAAATGTTTAATTTATTACTATGTTTTTAAACTAAAGAAATCTTGGTCAATTAATGTTTTTATCATTTGATTGTACTTTAGTTTTTGCCATTTACTTCATAAATCAAAATTATATTTATAAATTTAGTGTTTATTTTTTTAAAGTTATGCGTAGGTGCAATATGGTAGAGGATATACACTTCAAACTTTGCTATAATCCCTTGAAGATATAATATGAAAACATTTTATTATGGAGTAGCAAATTAAATTTGATACGTCAACTATTTAGTACCAGTTGAGTTTATGAGTTGAAATATATTAACAGGCAAGTATTCAGGGAAGGACCCTGGAATTTAACTTGGTTCATGAAATTTTATTTTTTCTACACTCGTCTGAATCTGCATAACGAACATAACTGCTTTTGACTGAGAGGAACATATTAACATAAATAAATTAAAAAACAATTGTAGTTTGATTAAAAATGATAGAAGTAGTTTTTCAAAATCTTGATATTCGTTTTGGTATATACTACAATAAATAAATCTATTATTAAAAATCTTCTATAATAAAAGAGATCAACATTAAAATTTAATGTAAAAAAGTCTTATGCCCTAGAAATAGTAATCGAAAATATTAAATATAGAAACAAAGAGTAATGAGTTTAAAATTTATATAATAGAATTATTAATGAGCTTTCTTTCTTTTTCTAGTATTTGAAGAAGGTGGCCCTTGTGTAACTTCTTGATTATCTTGACTTCCGCTATACATTTCTGAAAAAGAATATTCTGGTTCTAAATGTCTTGGCATTAGTTTTATTGGAACTTCATCATTAGATTCATTATCTGAGTTGTCCACATTATTGTCCCAATTAATGTTATTTCCGTCCGTTTCATCACTTGTATTAGTTATGGCTATACTGTTGATATTAGTATTGATGAATTGACCAACAACAAAGCCCTTTGATAAAATTAAGAAGTCATTAGTTGATTTTAAAAGTTTCAGTATTTAAATTAAATTTACATTATTTTGAAGAGTTCGATAAAGCAAAATCATAAGCATATTTGTACATTTTTTTCCAGTTGACATCAGTGTTTGTAAACTGCCACGTTTAAAATTATTTATTTGAGCATCAATATCCTATACAGATTATTTAGTTAAGACAATTTTTTTTTAAAAGTTCCAGTGACCCATAAAGAAGGCTGGCTTCCTCTAAAATATTTAAAAAATTGCATACTAAATTATGCATAATTTTAATTAATTTTATAGTAAAGCATATTAATAATTGTCATATAATTAAAAAAAACTGGGACATTGGAACAAAAATATTTTATTATTTAATTAATCTTTAAAAATAGGATTTAAACCACTTTGTAGATATTTTTTCTATTCGCACCACAGAACAATATTTGTAATAACAAAATGTAACATTATTACCTTTTCATGTTTTTTTATGAAAGGACTGACAATATTTTTGTAAACATAAGTGAGTGAGCTATCCGATGTTGGATATGTCATGTAAAGAAATAATAACTTTAATTCATTATAAAATGGAAGCCTGAAAAAACAGTAAAAAATTATTAAAACTGATGTATTAAAAAAAAAAAAAAAAAGTGTGTACATGATTATTTTAACACAACTTTAATTAAACTTTATAGATATAAAAAAATTAAGTTAACCTCAGATAAAAACTAGAAGGAATAAAATAAATAAATAAAAATGGAGGTAGACTGGGAAGACAACGACCGGAGGACCAAAAATTGTGGCTGACTACTATTAGCTTCAAAAAAGTTTTGCATAACTAAAAAAAATCTTAAATATTTTTTAAAAACACTCTACAATATAATATTAGCTATATGTAATAAAAAATCCCACTTGCTATCATTTGTTTTTACCATCAGTGATACATCAGTTGACTCAAAATATACACAAACTTATGTTTATCAACAGGGCTAGAACCCTGTTGGTAAATTATATGTTGATAAAGGGTTAATTATAACATTTAAAATAAAAGATGTTTCGTTAAAACATATTTAAAAAACCAAGTTATATTAAAAAAAAGCAAAACATTTACTCAAATTAAAAAATGCTTATGGTATTGAATTGTTAAGTTGTTTTAACATTAAAAATAAAAATAATGTAGTGACATTAAATGAAAAAAATTAAATAACATTTTAATATTAAAAACAAATACTAAATCTTTTTCTATATTTTTTTCAATTTGTGTGTGGATTAAAAAATTTACTAGTAGAGCTCTAATAAATATACAATATTTAAACTAAAAGTCTAAACATAAAAAAATATTCTATCACAATACTTATTATTTTCTATCATAGTGTCCATAACTTTACCAGGAATAATAAAAATATATTTCCTAAAGTTTACTGAGTAATTTAGTTAATTTTCATCAAATGTATTCCTTTAAGCTTTTATATTATTTTGTCCAACTTTTAATAGTAACTTGTATTGATAATCAGGGGTCGAATTAATTATTCTTTCTTTGTTCAACGTTTAAATGTTGAATAACAATAAATTTTATTATATATTTAAACATTTAATAATAAAAAATAATTAATTTGACATCTGGTTATCAAAACAAATTACTATTAAAAGTTGAAAAAATAGTATAAAATCTTAAAGGAAAATATTTGATGTAATTTAACTATATTTTTCAATAAAATTTTAGAAATTTTTTATCGTTCCTAGTTAAGTTATGGATGCTATGATAAAGGAAAATAAGTATTGTGAAAGAATATTTTTTTATGTTTAGACTTAGTTTTAATATTTTATATTTATAAGAAAACTGCATAGGTCCAAATTTTTAAGTCCAAGCTCACTCAAATTTTTTTTAAATAAAGCAAAAGGCTATAATAAAATAACATTTTACTTTTTTTAACATATAACTTAAATTATGAAAAATTTAACAAATGATGAAAAAGAATAAATTTATTAATTTTTAAGAGCATTTGGGCTGAGTTATTTAATAATAACAAATAAAACTGACCAATTATTATGGTTAATACCTACATTATTTCCAAGTCTTATTCGAACCAAGACTACTTAGAGCTGGTACAAATTAGTTGAGCCTATATAAGACTGTAATATCCATATTTTACTATATTTAAGAGTACTTACATTAGGCGCTAATTATTTATCAAAAATATTTTAAAAGTTGCCACATTTATTCAATTTTTTAATTTTATTATCAAACACTTTGAGTAAATTAAATTGACAAGGGTAAGTAGAGGACAAATAGATTATTTTCCAAACAATAATTATAAAATAATTGATTTGTCATAGTGGTTCAAAAAATACAACTTCAAATATTTTATCCACAATTTTTTTTACTTGATGTAGGAAACTTGTACTGTAAAATTTTTAAATCAATCAAAAAAACCCTTCCCGTGCTGCATTAGGGTTGAAGTTTGACCAAATAGGGTTGCTTTTTAGTTTCTCACATTTATTTCATTGAATATAATAATTTAAATAAAAATGTATAGAATAAAAACTATTTAGTATTAAATTTCAACAAAGGTTCTAATAGATTTTATCTAATATCCATCATTACTGTGATAATTAAAAACTATTTTTTAATTTTTATAATTTTATAACTATTTACCATGTACATATCAAATGAAAAAATAACAAATACTTTAATGCTGTGTAAGATAGATATAGTTATAAATTGGAGACTATAACAAATGAAGTTTTAACACCTCGTTTAAGCTCCAAAATTTTTTTTTGCTTTGAGACCATTATGGTATTGCTCTTAGTTGTTTTATAAAAAAAAATTACTAATGCGTCACGGGAATGGGTTGTTCAATCGATACCAAATTTTCACAGTACAAGTTTCCTATATCAAGTAAAAAAAATGGTGGGTAACGTGATCTTAATATAAATTAACAATATGTTTAATAACAACTAATATTATTATACTTTTACTAATGATCACTGATTAATAATTTTATATTAAATACTAATATTTTATTGTAAAGCAACTTGCTATTATTTTCAATGTCAATGCTTATTATAATAGGACATTATAGAACACTAAAGAAAAGAAAATTAATCAGAATTTCACAATAATAAATGTATTTATCACTTTTCTTTGTTATTAATAAAGTAACAAAGATGTCTAGTTTATTTAATTTATTTTATACTGTAACTTGTGTATCATCACTACTATTGGTTAGTAAAAATATTTTATTGATTAATTTTAAAATTATGTCTAGTTTAAATTGTAATTACCACTGTTCCATGAATCTAATATATAATTTAAAAAAACCCAGCACAGGTGGGTCGCGGCACAGTGGTGACGTGGCATAGTTGGATCAAGTATAATGATATCTGACAGTGATTAAAATCACTATCAAAAATAAACGCTTCGATGCAAATTTTTAGATAGTGTTTAATTTAAAAAAAATTGGTGTTTAATTCCAAAAGCTACTTGATCTGCTGGTTCCTTATTAATATCTCGATTAAGATAAAGTATGTCGAATGAAAAAGGGTTTATTAAAAAATATTATTTCTCATAAAAAAATTGTGTGGATCCATAAACTTTTCAATAAGTTATAGCATTATAAAGTTAAATATAATATAAATAATAAAATCGAGAATTTTCACACGAAAATAGCATTCGGTAGCCATTTTCGCCGTGAAGACAAGTCCAGAGGTCAAATTTTTTTTTTTCAAATTAAAGTATATTACATTAGCTTTAATTTAAGATATATATAAAAGTGTCAGACCTTCCGGAACCCTTTCAAAAGTTAAGTTGAAAAAGTTCTACTTTATATATGCATTTTTTATGTTTTAAGCCCCCCCATATATAGGGAAATGGTCTGATTTATAAAAACAGTATGTCAAATGAAAGATGTATATAAATACTACTCCTCATGAAAAAATTGTACTGATCCATACATTTTTCAAAAAGTTATAGCATAATAAAGTTAAATATGTTAAATACAAAATCGAAAATTTTCACACAATAATAGCATTCGGTAGCCATTTTCACCGTGAAGATAAAATAAAGTCCGAAATTTTTTTTTTGCATAATAAAGAACATTGCATTAGCTTCAATTTANTTCAAATTAAAGTACATTACACTAGCTTTAATTTAAGATATATATAAAAGTGTCAGACCTTCCGGAACATTTTCAAAAGTTAAGTTGAAAAAGTTATCATTTTATATCCCCCCTTGTGGGCAGGTTAAGGGTTAAATTTATGAAAAAAATATATCAAATGAAAGGTAATGATATTATACATCTATAAAAAAAAGAATTATAATGATATGTTCATTTTTAAAAAAGTTATGGCACTTTTAAGTAAAAAAATTGAAAAAATTTCGAAAATTAGCGATTTTTAAATTTGTAATTTTTTTGGAGGTTTCCCCCATTTACGGGGAACGAGAGAATTTTTTTCAATTTTGAAGGGTAATGTCTTCGACTAGATACGATTTGTGATCTTTTGACGTATCGTTGAAAGAAATCCGTTCGGTGAGAGCTGAGAAAAAGTGGTAACANGAAATCCGTTCGGTGAGAGCTGAGAAAAAGTAGTAACAGAAAAAAAAAAAAAAACACATCATAGTAAAACCAATACCTTCTCAGCTTCGCATCGAAGCTAAAATAACAAATACAATATTTATATTAAGCATTATATAAATAAATATGTAAGACAATAACTATAACAGTAATTTTACAAAAATACTACATCATATTAAATTTTTGTCCATTGAATTTATTACAAGAACTTTAATAAATTTTGCCATCTAAAAATTTTTTTTCCCCGATGTTACAAATTTGTGGCTACTCTAAACTTATCTTATTTAACTTGATCAAAATTAAATATGATGAAGAAGTATCCTAAAGTTTAATAGTACAAACATTACTTACCATGGACTAATAATAATATCTGTTGCTGTTTCTACTGAAGTAAATAATGAAAATGTAATCCAATACATAAGCCAAATACCCTTAAATTAAAAAAAAAAAAAAAACACAATATTTTTTATTTTATCATTAATAAATTAATTTATGAAATTTAATGTAAAATAAATAGTTCAAAAATAATAGACATATTTATCAAAAGTTTAAAGAATAAGTATTATTGAATTCTTTATTTACTTGACTTAAATTGTTTCCCCAAAAAAAATCTTTAGATTTATTTTAAAACTCTTTTTGAAATTTTAACCACTAATTTTTTTTTTTTTTTTCAAATTTAAGTATTGTTTAAGTTTATTTAGGGAGGAATCTTTAAAGCTTAATTTAAGCCTTTTTCAAAAAAATTGTTTAAGATGAACCGGGACTTAAATCAACTTTAATTCATCTTAAATGTTTTCGGAGGATAAAAATGTAAACATTTCTTCAAGCATTATCACATTAAAGCATTTTATGATATCAATTTTTATAATAGAATCACTTATTGGAACACTAAATATAAGAATGTTAATAAATCATATTGTTTTATTTGCATAATAATTATGATATCAATTATTGATCATTTTCTTTATTTAAAATCGTATGAAAATATTAGCCTCGAATGCACATAAGAATGTACTATTGCTATCTAACATATAATTTATTTCATTATTCTAATAATTCAATTAAAGTAATTAAAGTACTATGTTTAATAAAGTAAGTAGTTTTTATCAACTAAGTACTTTGATGATTACAACAAGTATTATGATTTAATAAATATAAATAATTTTTTTATTAAATGGGCTATATCTGAAAGTCTAAACAAATTATTTGAATATAAATTTACCTAAAAATGAAGAAAACATAAAAGATAATTGGTTTAGAAAATTATAAAATAGCTTTAGTTAAAACAAAATTAATTATTTTATAAATTATTTCATCTGATCTAGTTATAATAAATAAGAGAATAATTTAAAAAAGTATATACTTTTTTCCCTGTGAAAAAATCTAAAATTAAGATTTGGGCCCTTATTTCAATAAGTGATTTAATTGTTAGGTGAATCTATACTGGGTATAATTGTTTGTTGTATGTGTAAAAATTAGAGTTTTGTTCATTCAGCTTACTAATTTATTGAAACTCTTTAGTATTTTTCACAACTACAAATATCTTCTTCGATTATATTATTTTTTAAGATTAAATTACTAAAATATATATATATATATTAATACACATACATAATTACTTGACTTTTTTGTCTTTAGTACTTTATATGACATGTATCCAGGATATAGAATTCCAAAGAGCAAGCTAAAATGAGAAAAATAATTATTAATTAAATATTAACTATAATATACAGCAATTATAAAAATCTAAGATAATATGTAATGGAAATACATTAATAAATATAAATAATTTTAATGCTTAGCAAAAACTAAAAATATGATTGATTTAAATTAAATTATAAATCAAAAAAATCATTGCAAAATTCTATTGATAATTTATTATAAAATATACCTAATCTAATTAAAATAATAATTCCTTACATTAAAGGTCTACACATAAAATCGGGCAACATTATAACTTTTTAAATAAAATAATTGGGATTTAGTTAAATTTTTACTTGGCAAACGTTTTACATTACACAAAAATTTATTTAAATCTAGTTAACTTTGTTCAGTTTCTTAAATGTTAAGTAACATCGATTTATCGACAAATTAATTATTGAATGTATGACATATTGTTTATAAATTCAACTATATTGTATGAACAAAAGAAATTTACAGTTAACGTAAGTTTTAAAACAAAATGTAATGGTGCGTATCGCTAATAGACCAATAGAAATGATTTTATTAATCACAAAAGTTGGAAGAATTATTAGAAAAATTCTAAGTGGTAAACATTTTAGAGGAACCACGGTATCTTGGGTTATATATTTAGATAAGTGTGACGTGATAACAAAACGTCAATGCAAATATTACAATATATTAAAGTAATAATTAAAATGTAGCAATGTTGAATATTTCTTTACACTAGATCTTCATCTAGAGTTCTATCATGAAAATCTTTAAATAACCTCTTTAATTAAATAAGTATAATACTTATATAAAAGAGCAATTACTTTTGAAACAATTAGTTTTATATTTAATTTTGGTACTTGGTAACTTATATTCTAGTTAATTATTTATAATTCAATACTTCTTAATGAACCATAATAAAAGTTTAAAAATGGGCTCGAAGTTAAAGATGAATAAAAGAGTGTCTGGAATTTCCAATAGGAGTCATAAATCTGTTCTAAATAATGATGTATTTATGGTGAGTTATTTATAATTTATATATATATATATACATACATTTATATACTGTAATTAACTTATGTATCATAATTTCATATTTTATATAAAGAATTGTTGTCACTATAATACATAATTTCCAATATTTTTAGTTTCAATTTAGATGAACAAGAAAAAAAAGCAGCTGTTATAGAGACAACCTTCTTTTTAGTTATTCAATATTTTTTTTGTTAAAATAATACTTTGAAATAATTTATTGTATATTTTTAGAAATCTGGTGTTGGGAAGCCATCTATTTACCATGCACTAATTATTACTTTTTTAGAATATTTTACATGGGGTTTACTAACTTTACCAACAGTTTCAGTAAGAAAACACAGAATTAAAATAAAATATGTTTATTTATATAGTGTTGATTTGATAGTATTAATTTTTTTTTACTACAGAAGTTAAACAATACATTCCAAGATCATGCTTTACTAATGAATGGTATTATTTGGGGTATAAAGGTATACTAATACTTTTTAAAATATTTTTTTAATCATAAAATTAACATTAACTTTATTTTAGGGACTGCTATCATTTTTGAGTGCACCTTTAATTGGTGCTTTGTCTGATGTCTGGGGACGAAAATTTTTTTTAATTTTGACTGTATTTTTTACATGCATTCCAATACCTTTTATGATCATAGATTCTGGGTAAATAATAGTTATTTATAATTTTTTAAATTAAATTTGTGCTTGTACAGTGATGTAATAGAGGATTTTTTTTGAATGGTGATATATATATAAAGAAAATTTTCACTACCCCTTCTAAATTTAAAAATAATTATGTATTTTTAGTGTAAACAAGAATAGTTATGGGTGATTTTTGCTCTTCATCTTACCTTAATTAAGCATTGGCAATGTTTGTTAAATAAAAATGTCTTTTCTTATTATTACTTTTATTTAATTACATCTTTGTACTACTAATAATAAGATTAAGGTAAATATGAATAATATATCTACAATACTAAATTGTTAATTGCAATTTGACTTAAAAGATAAAACAGTTAATTAATGTATTCATACAAAAAAAAAAAAACTAAAATTTTAAAATATTTACCCTCCCACCACTTAAAATACCTTATCAATGTGTAAAATTTTAGAATAATTATTTCTAATAAAATACACATATTTCTAATTTAAGGGAAGTATTATATTAAGTTCTGATTATAGGATACGGCGATACTAACACTATGACAACATTATTACCTTATTTTCAACTTCAATTATAAGTGCTATATCATAAAATGATAATTTTCATAGAATAAATTTCATAACTATAACCAATATGAGTGCCTTCAAAGCCGCTTGATTATCACTTAAGATGGTTATCTTCCTATTTTTGTATACCAGCAGGTTCTGAGCCCCTACCAGTATCGCCATCACCTCTGCTTGGAAGACAGAGGGTGTTGTGCCCAATGACATACTGACATTTATTTGTGGCTTTAAACCCCAAATTCCAGCATCTACCTTTCCTGATTTTTTGGATCCATCTGTATATATCACAAATCCTCCTTTTTCAGTCAGGTGGTTGATATTCCATTCTCTATGTATAGTGATCTCCACTTTGTAGGGAATGTTATTCTTAAGAACCGGTTTGATATAGTCCAAGGGGTATTCCAGAAAGCCCTGGTCTATCTCTTTTAGTATTTTACCATGTTCTGTTGTATCACTCTCCAAAGTCCACATACCTAAGTTGTGGAATCTTAGTGCTGTAGCTTTGGCGTGAGCTTTCACCTCTAGATGCAGAGGAGGCAATCCAATTAGTGCCTCTAATGCGACCGTTGGTGTAGTTCTTAATGCTCCAGTGATGGCCATAGCAGCCATTCTCTGTATGCGACTAAGTTCTTTCCTAGCTGTAATGAGTGCTGTTCTGGTCCACCAGACCAGGGCACCGTACAATATCATAGGTTTAATCACTGACGTGTACAACNATCATAGGTTTAATCACTGATGTGTACAACCAATACATAACTCTTGGTTAAAGACCCCATGTCTTTCCCAAGGCTCTACTGCAAGTCCACAATGTGGTCATTGCTTTTTTGATTCTTGACTCAACATATGATTTCCATTTTAGCTTACTATCCAAGATAATACCTAAGTATTTTACTTCTGATTTTAAGCTAATTTCTTGTCCATTCAGAGTAAGAGTGTCCAGGCTGTCTAGTCCTATTCTCTTTCTAGTGAACATAACAACCTCTGCTTTATTTGGATTAACAGATAGACCGTACTTACTACACCATATCTGTATAGTGTTAAGTCTCTGTTGTGCTAAGTCAATAATAGTGTCTGGGAATTTACCCACCACTGCTATAACCAAGTCATCCGCATAGGCTTGTGTATAACAATATTTGTTTAACTCTCTAATAAGCGAGTCCAATACTAGACACCATAGCAANCTTTCTAATAAGCGAGTCTAATACTAGACACCATAGCAAGGGGGATAGAACCCTGCCTTGTGGGCAGCCCTGTTTAACACTCTTGATTACTTTGGTCTCATTGAGCTGTCCCAAAATGGAGCGTTCCTTAAGCATGGATTCTATCCACTTAATAATAAGTGGTTCTATTCCACGCTGTTGTGCAGATTCACACATAGCATCTAAGGGAGTATTGTCAAAAGCCCCTTTGATGTCCAGGAATATACCTACTGCATACATTTTATTCTCTACAGTTTTCCCTATTTTAGTAGTTAAGCAGTGTAGAGCTGTATCAGTAGATTTCCCCGTTTGATACGCATGTTGGTTTTCATGTAAAGGGTTCTCCTTAAGAGGCCCCTCCTTGATGTACCTATCAATAAGTTTCTCCATAGTCTTAAGAAGAAAAGAAGTAAGACTTATTGGTCTGTAGGAGGATTTTGCTTCATAATAGTTAGTATGGTTAGGTTTGGGTATAAACACTACCCTAACCTTACGCCAGCTTTCTGGTTGATAACCATAGGAAAGGCATGCCCTAAATATTTTGCAGAGATGGGGGACGATTATCTCTAACCCTTCTTGCAGAAGTGCAGGGAAAATTTCGTCACAGCCTGTAGCTTTAAAACTGCCAAAGGTTTTTATTGCCCATCTTATTCCACTTGGGGTTATCACTTTCCTGGTTAGTCTCCAATCAACGCAGGTCACACGTTTGTCCTGTGCATCATGTTCCTGTTCTCTGTTGTTAATTGCAGAGTCAGGAAAATGTGTGTTCATCAAATGTGATAATGTTTCATTATCATTATTGGTGAACATTCCGTCTGGCAGTAGTATTGCCTCGACAGTTTTGTTTGGTCCATTCCTTAGTGATCGCAGAAGTCTAGTTGCTATAGGGAGTTGTTGTATATCCCTACAGAATTTCTTCCAGCTTTCTCTTTTGGACTTTTTCAATGCAGATTTGTAGTTTCTTTGGGCATTCTTATAGGATTCCCAGTGTTGTTCCAAACCTGATTTCATTGCTTTATTTAAGAGCTTACGTGAACTCTTTCTTAATTTAGACAGGTTAGCATTCCACCAAGCTACACCCTGCCCTGTACCTTTCCTTTCTATTAAAGGACAGTTTTCTTTGTAAGCTGAGACAATGGAGTCCTGTAGCATATTTACAGCCCTTTCAGTACTCTGTCTCGACCCCAATCTAAACTGTAGGTTAATCAGGTCACGAGAGAGATCTGCCCTGTATTTGTCCCAGTTTGTTCTTTTCGGGTTCCTATAGTACTCCGTCTCAACTTTGTTAATTTCCAAAGTGAATCGTAAGTGCCTATGATCAGAAAGAGAAGGTTCGGAGGACACTTTCCACCCTTTTATCTTTTGAAGTAACCCTTTTGAACAAACTGTNATCCTTTTATCTTTTGAAGTAACTCTTTTGAACAAACTGTCAGATCAATGACTTCCTGCCTGTTCCTGATAACAAAAGTAGGTTCACTACCTCTGTTCAGTATACTTAGGTCTGTAGTCAGCAATAGATCCATTATAACCTCTCCTCTTTGGTTGATGTTACTGCTCCCCCAAATAGTGTGGTGTGCATTAGCATCCATACCTAGGATTAGTTCTAATTTTTCATTTTTGCAATAATTAAAGAGCATAGTTAGGTCCCTACCTGGGTCTGTGACCTCATATGGTAAGTATCCTGAAGCTACTATGATATTTTTACCATCATTTAGTGTTACTCTAATAATAGTCAAGTCTGCACTTGATAGATTAAGTATCAGGCTGGCTTTAACTTTATTATTAACCAAAATGCAAGTTCTTGGTTTATCTGCTTGTTTATGAAACAGTTTAAAATCCCTTAGATTTAGCCCCTTAATCTGGTCCCCATTTATCCATGGTTCCTGAATAAGTGCTATTTGTAAGGGTGTTGTATGCCTCTCAGTTAGGGTCCTTAGTAATACACTACTGGCCCCTTTACTGTGATGCAGGTTTATTTGCGTGAATTGAATTCTATTGTCAGCCATTCAGATAAACTGATGTTGACACCTAAGAAAGCACGCTGTACTGGGTGTGATACAGGTGTCTGAAACAGTCCCTGTGTCACACAGCCCCCCCTGTGGGTGGTGTCCCACCGCCGTCCCCAGGTGGCGATTGTGCCTTGGGTTCGCTCTCCACATTTCCTTTTGGATCCGTGGAGAGGTTCCTCTCAGCTGTGGCCGTTATTGAGGGTGGCGGTTTCCTGGGTCCCTTTCCCTTACGTAACACACATCCTCCCTTCCCTTTCAAGACAGGAGTAAAGTGTATCCGTTTGTTCCTTACCTGTGCCTTACCTCCTTTCCCGAGTGGCACTGGTGATTCCTCAGCCTTCCTCTTCCCAGATTTTTGAGGTGTGAATTTTTTCACATCCTTCCGGGCTGGTGGCTGCTTGGCAACATAATCTGTGAAGCAAACTCTGCCCATTCCAAAATATGGACTGCGCTTCAGTTCCTCCAGTTTGACCATGCTGTTTTCGTCCACACTTAGAAACAGAGTTTGTCCTTTCGGGCCAACCTCTGTCTCATGGTGGACTTTCCAGATCGCCGTGTTCAGCCCTGGGTTTTGTTTTGTCAAAATTTCCAAGATCTTCTTGGACTCTTTTGGCAGTCCTGGTATATGAGCGACCATCCGTTTATACTTGATCGGGTTGTAGGCTTCCAAATGGAGTTCTGCACCGTCCCAAGGTTTTATCAGGTTTACATGGTCAGTGAGCCACTTAAGAGAGCTCTCTTGGGCTGCACTGATCACAAGTGCTCCATCAGTGAGTTTGGTGTCTTCAAACCTTGGTACGTCGGTTCCATCAGTACCCGACAGTATCAAGTCTCCAACACAAGACTCAATGAGTAGCCCCTGCTCTGTGGTCAACTTGTTAGTGGGGTAGCCTGCGAGGACCAGAGCCACTTTTTTATCATCGGTTACCACGTCCCTGTAGGTCGGTACCCAATGAGTTTTCTTACATGGAGGTTCTTGACCCTTGTCCTCAGGTTTTTGAGCTTCGGTTCCCTTTGACTTTTTAAAGTCATCGGTTCCCTTGTCTCCCTCCTTTGGTAGGTTCTTCTGCCCCTCCATGTTTGCTCGGCTCCTCTTCAGCTTGCGCCTCTGACTGCCGCTCAGTTTCTCAGGTCTAAGTTTTAGACCTTCGATTTTGTCAGCTACTGCTCCCAGTTGATCTTGCGATTCCTGGTCTACATTTTCTGACGTTGCTGTCTCTTTGCTAGTAGACGGTTCACCAAGTGTCCCGTTGTTGGCATTGAGACCTTCAAGTTCGGCGATTCTTCTGCGAAGAGTCGCCAGTTCACGATCTTGTTCCGACAGGTTGTCCGTAGGATCCCTGATCGTCACAAGTTCGTTGTTTTGTGGTTTTTCTATGTTTTTGTCCATATAGTTCCCACGAGAAGTCGAGAAATAAAGGTCCGTCACAGCAGAGCTCGATACTGTGATAAGGCTGTATACTCTATGGTGCGCCAGGTGCCATAGAGAATCCCAATGGTCACTTTACCTTTCGGCTAACTACCCTGTGACAAGTTAGCAACACTTTCACTTAGTATGGCTGAGTTAGGGGGGCCTATTCGCTGTTAGCAAGCAGGTATGCCCAGGCCTACCGGTCCCAACTAACCAAAGTCATGACCGGCTAAGAGCAGTGGTACGTGTTGCCACCCCCACTGAAATAACTAGGGTCCGCGGGGTTGTTAGGCCCGTAATCCTTGCGGATTCCCCTGCGGGAAATATTTTTAATTACTATAATTATAATTTTTTTTTTTAAATTACTTTTGTTAAATGTAAATAGCTTTGTTATATGATTGATTCATTCCAATTGTTCTATGTAATTAGTTGCTAAACCATTCTAATGTATTTAGAATATTAATTTTTTCGTATACTAACTTATTTTATTAAAAAAAATGAAGTATAAATAGTTATTGATATTTGGATGTTTGTATTGTAGGTGGTTTTTTGCATTAACTAGTATATCTGGTTTATTTTCTGTAACTTTTTCTGTTATATTTGCTTATGTTGCTGACATAAGTGATGAAAGAGAGAGAAGTTACTATTATGGCCTGGTAATTTTACACTACAATTTATTTTATAAATTATATTTTTAAATAAATTAATAATTTTATAGATTACTGGAACTTTTGGTGCTAGTATGGTATTTGGGCCAGCTCTTGGATCATACATTATGGAAATGTATGGAATAAATTATGTTGTATTATTAGCTTCATTTATAGCTATATTGAATGTATTATTTATTATTGTTGTTGTTCCTGAAAGTTTACCTTATAAGCTAAGAATGTCTACCAATTGTATATTATGGGAACATGCTGATCCATTTGTTGTAAGTTAAATATAACACATAAAGGGTTATTTTATAAATGCAGAAGAGTGTATAATTTTATAAATTATAGAATAAAGTTAATTTATAAGTATAAATAATTTTGTTATAATATAGCTGATCTTTATATAAAATAAATAAATTGCGAATATCATAAATTCAACAACATTATACCAAGGAAGATATTGAATCTATCCTAATTTTATGTTATAATTTTCTTACCAAAAAAGGTTATGCTATCATCATAATCAAAAAGTATTTGTGTTTGAGAGTTAACTCAATTTAATCCCCATATTAAACTTTTAAAGACGACAGATTAAAAATTTTATTGACCAAATAATTCAAAAGGTGAAAGATCTTACAGGTCTAGTGGTAAAATAAAAAATGTGTATGTATTACTATTGTTTTATAAGCGAAAGTTTTGGCTTAAAGGTATAGGAAATATTTGGCAAAATTTAATATAATATATATCTTGTAATTAAAAATATTGTTACTATTTTAAGTATTCAAATAGCTAATGGGATACTTAAAATTTACACTACTAATAGCTAAAAATAATCAAAGAGACAAATTTTTACTCTGTGTGATTTATTGCGTATTCGAATTTGGAATATAATATTCAATTGAATAAAAATAATTGCTAGTCCAATAAGTAGTGTTTACTTAATTTGTATTAACTCTAAATTAAAAAGGTATTCAAATGAACTCTTACAAATTATTTATGATAAATACTATTACTAAAATGGAACATTTTATTTGTAAATTTCTAGGCTTTAAAAATGGTTGGTCATGATCGTACCGTATTAATTCTTTGTTTGACTGTGTTTTTATCCTATCTTCCAGAAGCTGGAGAATATTCATCATTGTTTGTTTATTTACGACTTGTAAGATTATTTTATTAGTTTTGAATTTTTTATTTATTCTAAAAAACACTTTGTAAAAACTTGATAAAATGTTTAGTTATTATTTTGATATAATTAATATTTAAGTTTGTTACCTATTTATTACTTTTATTAAAATATTATTTTTTTATAAGGTAATGGGCTTTAGTATGATAAAAGTATCAGTGCTGATTGCAGTAATTGGCTTATTGTCAGCAGCTATTCAGTCTGTACTTGGAATTATTATGAAAATGTTAGGTGCAAAATACACAATAATGATTGGATTAGTATTTGAAATAATGCAACTAATGTGGTTTGGATTTGGTTCTGAAACATGGTAATTAGATTTTAATTGTACATAAATTAATTAAAAAAATTAACTATGTATTCATTTATTTTAGGGTTATGTGGTCAGCTTGTGTTTTAGCTGCAATTTCTAGTATTACTTATCCTGCCATTAGTTCATTTATTTCTATTCATTCTGATGCAGATAAACAAGGTATTCACCGATAAATAATATTTTTATTTATTGAAAAATAAGTTGACTGTATTTAAGTTAATTCAATAAAAAATATAATTTTTTATTCATATATGATTTTGGTTTATTGTTATACATTTGTAATGATAGGAAAATCATATAAATCCAATAATTCTAATATTGACAATAATTGATTACATTTTTAGGTGTTGTTCAAGGTGTAGTAACTGGTGTGCGTGGTCTATGTGGTGGCTTAGGACCAGCAATATTTGGATTTACATTTTACTTGTTTAATGTTAATCTAAATGAGGGTATACAAATGGCACACACTTCACATTCTTCCCATCACTCATTTAATGATACCATTATAATTAAAAATTTAAAATATAACTTTCATAATGACTCTTCTTCATCAGTAAGTAAAATTATTTATTATTTTCCATTAATTTTGAATTGTATTATTAATTTTTAGCTTATACCGGGACCTCCATTTGTATTTGGATCTCTTCTTGTTGTGTGCGCCTTACTGGTATCAGTGTTCATACCTGAAGGTACATCAAATGTCTATGAAATGAGACCAAAGCAAATTGGTAATTATAATCTCAAAATTTATTTAAAATCATTTTTAGTATCGACTCTAATTTTTCAGGTTCATCAGTTCAGTATCAAATTAATAGAGCTAATATTCAGTCTTATTTATGAATTTTATTTTAAAATTTTTATTAGTACTTAATCTATACACTAGTATAGAAAAATTAATACTAGTTGCTATACATATTTTACAAATCCCATTTAAAAATTTGAATAATGAACATTAGTTTAATTAATATTATTTTATTTCATAATATAACCAAAATGAAAAATAAATAAAAATGTTCAGACCTTATGGACATTTTACTGATATAATACATTACCTTTTTTTGTATAAAACTTTATTGACTAATTTGTCTAAATAATACTATTTTAGATGTATAGTGTCAAAATTCAAACGTGACCAAGTAAAATTGTTGAATTTTTTTTTTCATTTATCATTTATTGTTTTAAAATTTAAAAAAAATTTTGGTGCATATCTGGAATTCTGTAAACTAAATATTTTTATCTAGCAGATCTAATATCATATCTCTAATCAATAATACAGATGCAATTTAAGAACTCTAAGAAAAAATTTTCATGTAAGACATAATAGAATAATAAAAAAAATATATTTTTTGTACTTAATTAAATGATAATTTGAACTTATTTAATAAAAATTGAAAAAGAATTATTTGTATTTTTTATTCTATTTTTTTAAAATTTTATGAAATATTACATTTCTGTTAATTTTTATCTTCTTAATGGGTTTTTAAACACATTTTTTGTTATTGATATTTTGTTACTATTATGAGTAATTTTATAAGCATTTTTTTATAAACAAGTCGTGAAATTAATTTATGCTGAGTTAATTTTATTTTAGAAATTTCATACCACATTATTAAAAGGGAAGGGTATAATAATATTGACTACTCATCTGCTTATATGAATCAAATTTAAATTGTGTTACTACTATTGGATTTCAAATGCATTGTCAGTTAAAGAAGGAAGAAAAAAATATTTAAGATGATAACATTAATATTTTGATTAGCTAAATTAAACTAATATAAAAATAGTTCACACTGATAGTATAAGACTTGTCTATGAAAATATGTGTTTTGTAGATTATGTTGATATTATTTTATTGTACATCATATTTTTAGTCAAGATGTAAAAACATTTTTTTTTTTTTTTTAATGTTAAAAAACTCGTTTTTACATCTCTAATTCAAAGTTGTCTCATTATTTTAAGTTTTTATCTTGAATCACTGTAAAAAAGTTTATTATATTTTGTATGTCGATCTCTTAATTACACTAAGTATTTTTCAATTAATACATACATGATAAATTGACAATTGAATTTATTTATTTTAGCTATATAAATAAATGATAAAATAAAATAATTTAAGATTAAAGTATTTTGTAAAGTTTAATTGAAAATTTAAGTTGATATTAATGTTTGATCGTAACTAATTTTATTGTGCCTTGAAATAATTATTTTTATTACTTCTTGCACTAACCTATTTCATTATGACTAGTGCCTAATTTCTTTAAAATGGCTTATCTTAGGTTAATCTATTTTTGAATATCTGTAAATAAATTATTATATAATTGATGCCTCTATAATAATTATTATAACTTCTTTTTAATATGCATTTATATTAAGCATTCAATATTTAAAATAAATATAGGATGATTGACTAATTATGCCTCATAAATTTTCTTTAAAAATATTAGTATTATCGTATATGTAATTATTTTATTTGTTATAAATCTTTGTACAGCTACTTGACAAGAAAAATAAAGATTCCATCTTCATCCCTTAATTTTATCAAAATTAATCAATTTTAATAAATTCTGAACAAGATATAACTATTTAAAGTTAAGGGGATTTAACAAATGAAACAATAGTCATCTAAATACATTAATATTAGTTAATAATTCTGTTATTTACTTGTATAATATGTAGAATCAAATATATGTTTAATCTAAATTCCTTAAAAACAAGTGTTATTTTTTAATTACTCAAATAACAATATTTGATACAAATTTTGTATCTTTTATTTTAAAATTCAACTTTATTTTTTGATGTATGATCGATGATCATATATCTAAAACTTAGGTAATAATTTATCACCCAAGTCATTTATAAAAGTCTCATATATGAGTTAAACTAAAAAGTACGATTATTACTCTCGCGCAACAATTTGTTTATTCTAAAAAATTACATTTTTTGTTCGAATATATTTGTCATTAGTATGGTAAAGAAGGTCTAAAAATAAAGAAACATCAACTATTTCTTTACTCTTCAGTGGGACATTTTATTTTTATTTTTCATTTAAGCTAATCAAAAAATTAAATCACTTCTTAAAAATATAATACACTAATTTGATATTTTAATTATTGGTTGAATTTGACTAATAATCAAAGAATCCCTTTAACGTTTATATATTTATATTATATTTAATAATCACATTTTCCTAGCCTTGTGTCCACTCGTCTTAAATAAAATATCTCAAAATTAGTATTGTGAAAAATATAAGGTTAGACTATCAATCGAGTTCAATATATATATTTACTCATTGGAAGAATTAGTGGTAAGGGATTGTACACTTACTTAATCCATGTCTTTTTTTTTTAATAATATAGTAAAAGATATATAGCACTATAACAATCATCATAAAAGTTGACATAATATTAAGGAAATCCTCATGTGTGTATTTAATTTAAATCTTAAACTAAAACATGTCAAAATTTTTTCTTGTTCAAGATAGGGTTTTTGCTGAGAACAGCAAAACAAAATAGAAATGTTAATTTGTACCTTGGGGGTTAGAACCTCTAAATAAGAGCAGTGGTAATGGTTCTCCAATCTGCTATCTTAGTAACCAGATAACTGAAATGAAAAATTAACCTTTTCTTTTTGTTTACGGACATTTTCAAAATCTGACAAGAAAATATTTTTTTTCTCGATTTTACATAGTAAAATAATCGTCGTGACAAATTAATTGTATTAATAATAGAGTACATTTTACAAAATTTAGTTTGAAATATTGTCAAAAAAAAATGTCTTTAAGTACTGAAGTTTTTTATTGGATTTACACAAAAAAAGTATAAAAATATGATATTTCTTATTATTTACTGTTAAAAATATAGTATTATTTAAGTTTTTATAAAAAAAAAAAGGAAAATTATTGTAATTTGTTGAGATATTTAGAGTTATATTTTTAATTTTTGATAATGCCTGATTTAAGTAATGTCTTAAACTTTATATTATTCGGCATCTTTCAATGCATTTCTGATACAATTTACCCGAGAAAAACATGCGTAATAAAAAAGCAAGATAAAAATAATTGAGCATTGCGTAAAATTAACGTATTGTAGTTAATTGTAATTGAACATAAAAGGACATAGATTCGATCCAGAAACAAAAATTTTAATCTTGTCAAGACATATCACTGTTATTATGAATAATATAATTAGTAATTAAATAAGAAAATTTATGTGTTTAATTAATTACATTAATTTTTTATTGTTATCATTCAAGTTTTTATTCATAAACTAAATGTTGTACTTTGTTTTACCGCCAAATATATATATTTAATCTATGATATGAATTGTTTTGTCCATGATGCACCATAATGTTTTAAACAGGTTATGTTACCATTGTACCCCAAATGTTATATCATGAGTCACGGTGTTCTTGCAACTAACTAATCTCAAATGATAATTTTTCGAATATATTTTACAGAGTTCATATTTTTACTTATTAGTGCGTTGTCCTGTTAATGATTTATCATTAAAAGTAATTTTCAATTAAAAAAATAATCATTCTTTGACTTATTTTACTCGTAGTATTAGTTCTTTTGGAAACATTAAAATGCTTATCACATTCAAAAATTTACAACAGCAAACATTTAAACTCGAAATCGAGCCTGAAAAAACGGTAATTAGAATCCTAATTAATAAACTAAATTTTATTTACCCTTATCAAATTTGTAAAATTTATATATCTCAGTTTTAGATTTATTTCATTAATAAATTCGTATTGCATTTCCTATTTTTAAGTTAATTTTTTATTAATACCGGAAATTTATACTTAAAAGTTAGTAAACTATCTTAAGTTTTACTTGGAAAAGTTTATTATTATTTAATTTTAATTTTATTTATGTCTTATAATTGAAGTTGCCATTTACTAACTTATAAAAGTGTGCATTCTTATTACTAAATAGTATATATATATATATATATATGTTTAGGTAAAAGAATTAAAAGAAAAATTGCAAATAGAGAAAGGTTCTGACTACCTAGCAGAAAATCAAAAGCTTATATACGCAGGTATATTAATTATATATTTATTTGTTTACAAATATGCTACGAAATATTTAACTTTTATGTAAAATTAATTTTTAGGAAAAATTCTTAGTGATGACACAAAAATAAGCGATTGTAATATAGATCCAAAAAAATTTGTTGTTGTTATGGTATCCAAGGCTGCTAGTATTAATGCTGAAAAATCAGTAAAATCTACTCCCAGTACATCAACATCAGTAAAACCTAGTGAATGGTAATTTTTTTGAAAATTTCATAATAGTTATATTTTTATTTAATAATAAAAGCATATATTATTATTTTAAATGTTGAAATACAACAAGTAATAATTGACATTATTGTTAATTTTAGTTATTAATTTAATAATAAAATACCATAACATTTTAAAATGTAAATTATTAAAATTAATGTGTCATAAATATATGTACTGTAAATTATGTCGTTATTCAATAATTCCTTTAGACTTCAGACTGCCAATATTAATTTTTTTTATATAATTTTTCATTAATGCTTTTTAAAATAAAAAAAAATTTTCTGATCATTAACACTTCAGTTTTATACCACCCAACTTAAATTGAACTAGTTTCCCATTGATTTCTGAAATAGAAAACCATCGCATTTCACTTTTTATCTGTGTAATTTTATCATTAAATTAATTCATTATTAATAATCATAAAAGTCATTATTGATTTTTTTCCTATTTTTAGTCCTTCTGTTCATGCAGAACAATCTAAAAATGATGAAAAACAAACATCTTCCACTACAACATCTACTGCACCTGTACCAGAATCAGCATCAGGAGATGAATATGAAAAAATTGTACAAAACATTATGGATATGGGTTATGTTAGAACACAGGTAAAATCTTTTTTATATATATACATTTTGTAAAAACTACTTTTTTCTGCATTGTGTATAATGTTTTTGATAATATATGATATGCTGTTTTTAATAAAAAAATAATAATTTAACAAAGATACTGTTTATAGGTTGAGATTGCACTAAGAGCTAGCTTTAATAATCCTGATAGAGCTGTTGAGTATCTTATCACAGGAATACCTGAAGAATTACAGTCTGATCCAGCCATTAATCAATCAATGAGTAACATTCTTAGTGAAGGTAAGAACAATTTTATTTCAATGGTACATTGATTATCATCATGGCTGAGAATTATATGCATTTATAAATTTTGTTAAGTTAATCCAAAAATACTACTAATTAGTACTAATTATTGTTAATTAACTTGAAAACTAATTACTTTTTTCCCCAATGTTATAATTTTGAGGGGGTTAATCCCCTCCTCTAAAATGAATAATATTTCTGTGTTATTTTATAATCCTATGAAAAAGAGGGACGGTGTGATCTTTAATGGGCTGACAAAGCAAAAATAAAAAATGTTGGATACCTTCAAACTCAAATAAAATTTATAAATACATATAATTCACAGTCATCTTGAATAAAATCAAGTGTTCAGGGATAACATGTTATTGAATGATTAAAAGAGCAATTTTTTTTATAATTCTTTTAGCATGCAGAAATAATTAATTTTGTTTCTGAAGTATTTTGTTTTTTTTACTAACTAATATGTTAAACTAATTAAAGTAATTACACCTTGAAACAAAAACAAATTATTATAACATATTACATATATTTATTATTATTATAAAAATTATAAATGGCAGTAAAATATTATGAAGTGTTAACATTATAATCACTTTAGTAATAATCTTCATAAATATACATGACTAGTATTCATTAATGGTTAATGGAATAAAGTGGTAGATAGATTAGGGTTTGTTGGATATTAATTGGTGCCATTAATATTTTAGCTGATACTAATGATAATTTTGTCTCTAATTTAAAATGTATCGTCAGTTTTATCAAATTAACTTTAAATTTTGATAAATAACTAATTTCTTAACATAAAGAAAATATGTGGTTAAATATTTGTAAAAAAAATATTAGTTTAAAACTGAACAATATTAAAAATATTTACCTCAAAAATCACCAAATATGATTAAAAAATGTATTTTGTGAACATTATTATCATTATGAACGCTAAACACTTACTGACAATCTGACCAAAAAAAAAAAAACCCTAGTGGCATTATCACTAAGTAATATTATCACATTTTGCCAGTTTAAACAAGTTTAATAATGAATTTTTTAGTGGATCAAGATCCTAATTAATTAAATTGTTCTTAATTTTAAACTTTTTCATTTCCATTTATTAAGTTCTATGTAATTTTTATGATTTTAATGAAGTGATTATGTGTCAATAAATGTTTAGCCATAGGAGATTTATCAACCTCTTAATTTTTTATGTTTCTTAATTTTTCTTTAAATCTGATCCCTGTATATCTTTTTATTTGTCCTACATTACATTTATTTAACCTTTACATAGTATTTTATAAATGCCTGATATCATCCTTCTTTTACTTTATGTTGAAGGTTACCTAATAAATCTCTTAAATTAATACTTTTAGATGATAATATAAAATGAGCAATCTAATTACTTTTTGTTCCTCTATGCTAATGAGTATACTAGTTGCCCCCCTTTCTTTATTCCACTTTAGTGTTCTTTGAGTTGTACATTTGAGTTCTGACTTATTTTAAAATTATATTTTCGTTATAACCCTCAGTTGTTTATTAAAATCTATTTTATTCATTGGATTATTAGTTGTTATAAGGTGGGTAAGAACTGCCTATGCACTTAGACCTATAGGTCCATTGTAAGCACATCAGAATATTAATTATTCTGTAATCCATATTGAAATTTCAAAATTTAGTTTTCTCCTACTCTTTTAATTAATAAATCTAAAAAGGCAATTTTCCCTCTTTTTGTTTGTATGTGAATTAAATTTATGAGTAAAAAGAATTAAAATGTTGTATAAAGACCTCAGTGTTGTATTAAAATCTTTATTTATTACTGCAAAAATATTGTCTACATACCTAACCCAAATTTTTGAAAAATCACCATTGGTGTTTTTTAAATTTATTTAGAACCTAGTCATAAAATGTTTCGTTTAAAAATAGTGGTAGCAGTTTCCCATTGCTCTCATAATTTATTTGCTTTAATTTATTATCCTCAATTTGTTCATAAAATTTATTTTGAAATAAAACATTTTTACTCATACATAACTTAATAAATTAATAAGCTCATTTATTTTCCTTTAGCCAGTCTTTAAGAAAACCAAATGTTATAATTATCAGAATATTTGGAAAAAACCCTACTATGTCAAAAAGAATTAACATATCATTATTTTGAATAATATAACCAGATCATTTTTGAATTAAGTTAATATTATTTTTAACTGAAAAACTATAACATTTTTGAATAGAATAAAACACCCTTATTATGTACTTAGCCAAATTGTAAGCTGGAACTATAATATTCAACACAATAGGTCTAATTTATTTCCTGGCTTGTGTATTTTTGGCAAAGCATATAGTTTAGGTATTTGAGCTTTGATTCCTTTTACTCTAAATATTTTTCTCTATTTTATATCTCATATTTAACTAGATTTTTATGTAAATATTTAGATACTGGTAGCTCAACTGGTAGTAGCCAAGGTAGTATACCAACACATCAAAATGAACCACTGGCATTTCTTCGTAATCAGCCAACATTCCAACAAATGCGGACAGTTGTTCAACAAAACCCAGAATTATTAAATTCAGTGTTACAACAAATTGGTCAAACCAATCCAGCTCTTTTACAAATGATATCTAATAACCAAGAAGCATTTGTTCGTATGCTTAATGAACCAGCTGAAGGTGCTTCAGCAGTTCCAGCTGCCACTGGTAGAAGTCCAACTGGAGGATATGAAGTTGCTGTATCATCTCAAGATAAAGAAGCTATTGATAGAGTAAGTTTATATGATATAAATAATAGTTTTTTAGTAATTTAATTAATCTACCAATTATCTTTCACAGTTGAAAGCATTAGGCTTTCCAGAACATCAAGTAGTGCAAGCATATTTTGCCTGCGAAAAAAATGAAAATATGGCTGCTAATCTACTGCTCACTCAAGAACCAGATGATTAAATATTGAAGACTCCAAGGCTGAAAGGATTCTTTTTATTAAGTTTTTTCAAGAAAAACTATATTACTAATAATTTGTTTTTGAATATTGCTTCAAGTAATAATATTCTAGAAATAGAACAGTTCTTTAAAATTTGTTTTTTCCTATATTGATTTTTTTTAAGTGAATATCTTCTTTTTATATATATTTATTTATATATATAAAATTTTCTTATTCTTAAAAATGTATAAATGAATTTTAAATAACATTACTTATTTATTCTCATGTATGAATTAAATTTTAACTACCCAATTTTAGTTCATAAGTAATAAAGGGAGTATTGTGCCAAAATAGTTTGAGCAGCAATGTAAATCATTTAAAATTTAACTATAAACTATAAAAATTATATCATGAAAGTAAAGTCAAAATTTTGAAAGTATGAAAATATAATGATTAAGTTCTTCTATATAATAGTATATACTATTATGATATTCAAACCTAAAATTAAATTGTTTAAATTTATATTTAACTATGAATTACTGATTAACTAATTATAGTATACAAATGTATTAATGTAGGTATCTACATAAATAGACAGTAACCAGGAAGCGTCCAGTAATACTTTTATTAATCATTATAACAAAAAAATACCTTGTCATCCAGTGGCATATATAGAAATTCAAACAAAATTTTTTAATTAACCAGCTACCATGAAAACTTAATCAATATGAGCGAAAATATGTCAACAAACATATCAACATAACATGTTCAAGGGGTGAGGGGGCACTGCCTCTATGTAATTACCCTCTAAAACGCAACCACTAAAACTAAAATTCCAAAAACTAAGATTCCAAAAAAAATAAATTTAATAATAATAAAATTAGTTGGTAATTTTAAATCAAACCAATGTTTGTATATTTTTGATTCAAATGAAATAATACATTACAAAAATCTCTAAGATAAATTGACTACACACAAATTAAAAAATAGGCAATACATTTTTAATAAAAGAAATATTTTTGTATAAAATAATTTCTACAATCATGATTTATCAAAGAAAAATTCGTAAATCTTTATAATATTTAAAAACTGTACAATTAAAAATTTGTCAAACGAGAAAATATATACAAAATTATACATAACAGATATATAAGTGCCTTTTAACAGTAAATAACAAAAAGTTCAACAATATTTATTGTTTGGTGTTTAAATAAAGAATATTATAAATTAAAGAAAATTAAATACAAAACAAAACCCACGCCTATTAATAATATTTATAATATACATATAAATATATAAAATATGTACAGTATAATTTGGTTCTTTTAATTATTTTGTGTATGCCAACCCAAAAAGGTGGTATACCAGTCTTTTAATATTTTCTTTTAAAGAAATATACTTCTTTATTTATTTTTTAAATAGTACATTAAAATGAATATATGTACATGATATATAAAATAAACAAAAAGAAACAACGGATTAATGCAAAACTCTTGAAGTTCAATAACTAAAAAATAGGAACCCTAAACTAATTGTTTTCCTTTATATTACCATCTTCCTCATTTTGTGTTCCATTCTCTTCATCACCAATGCCATCTTCATCATCATCATTATTATTATCATCATCATCATCATCATTTTCGAGTTCACCTTCAATGGTATCATCTACATTCTGGTTATCATCATCATCATTACTGTCATCTATTTCTTCATTATGCTCAGCAGCATCACTTTCATCATTACATTCAATTTCATCATCATCCTCATCATCCTCGTCGTCATCATCATCATCATCTTCATCTATTGTATTTTCTTTTGTATCTAGTGTGCTATCTTCTTTAATATCGTCTTCTACTTCTTCTTCTTCAATTTGTTCTTCTATCATGTCATCATCCATTTCTTGGCACAACTCTTTACCAACACATAATTTACTACCAGGACCATGAGTTTCAATATGTTTTTCTCCAAATGACTGACTATTGAAAACAATTTCACATTCATCACAATGAAATTTGGAAGTAGAGATAGGAGCATTTGAATGAATAAGACGATGTTTTTGAAGCTTAGAAAATGCATTGTGGTTACGTCCACAAACATCACAGGAAAATAAGGAGGTAACAGTAGCATTTGGGTGATGGTTATCTAAGTGTAAAGATAATTCATCATAATTTGAAGTAATTTTACAACAAATTCCACAAACAAAAGCTGCTTCAGGACGATGTGCTCTAATCAAATGTTGCCAAAAATGTTTTAAACTTAACCATTCTTTTCTACATATAGTACAAACAGTTTTTTTGCCTTTAGGAATAATAGGTTGATCTTTACCACGTTCAGTTTCTTCTTCAACATAACTATCATCAATGATTGAATGTTCCTCTCTTTTATGGTCATACAAATCAGTTTCAAATCGAAAACTTTTGTAGCAAACAGTGCAGGAATGAAGTTTTCTAAGTCTTTTTGTATTTATATCTGATGTAATATCATCAATATCTCTTTTTAGATTTTCTTGTTGTTCTTCACTAAAACCTAGTTCTGCTAATTCTTTGGGCAGTCCATAAAGTTTAGGTGTTTTGGGTTTTGGATCAATTGTTTTTTTAACAGGAGTAACTATTTTGGGTGAATCTTCTTTAACTGGATGATTTTCTATGTGATCTTTTAAAACATCTTTATCACTAAATACTTTCCAACAAATTTTACAAGGTTTTAAGTTTTTCCCATGAATTTTATCTATATGTTCACTAACTTTACTACCAACCGAAAATATTTTACCACAAATTTGACAAGTATTAGGTTTTACAAATGTTTGTGGATGAGCATCATGTAAATGTTTAGTTAAACCATCACTATCTAAAGAAACTTCCATACAAACACCACATAAATATTGAGTATTTTCTTTATGACGCTGTCGTAAATGTTTTCTATAGGTCTTTTTATTTGAGTGCATGTCACCACAAAATTCACAGACATATGAAAAAACGCGGCGAACATGATCACGTTTATGTTTTTGACAATCAGCTTTTGTTCTCATTATTTTATTACAACCATCAATATTACAAGTTAATTCTGGATCATTGACATGTTTCTCCCTAATATGGTCCATTAATAACATTTTACTATCAAAATGTTCACCAGTTTTATCTTCTGAACATAATTCACAATGTTGAACTAAATGACTATGTCTAAGATGTCTGTTTAAATATGTTTGATATTCAAATGTTTTGCTACATTTTGAACAAGGATAATTACCTTTTTCTTTAGGTACTGCGAGGGAATCTTTTTTCCCTTTACAATATTTTAAATGTTTTTTCAATAAACTTCTAATTCTAAATATTTTATCACATCTAATACATTGATGGATAATATTTGTTTCAGCACGATTACTGTTATTAGACTTGTCAATAAGTTGATCAACAGGGTCTGAGTGGTATTTAGTCATATGTCTTTTAAGATGAACTTTAGAAGCTGATGTACGAGCACATAAACTACATGTCACATCAGGATGACCTTTATGCTGTCGACTTACATGTTTCCATAAATGATTATTTCCACTATAATACTTTGAACAAAGATCACATACATGCAATTGATGATCATTTTTCCGATGTTCAGAAATTTCTTCTACAGTTTTAAATTCTGTATCAGGGCACAATGTACATTTTAAATTAACTTCAGACAACTGATCAGTGACAAAATGAGATACTTGATCTTCAACATTGTGTATTGATCTATGCCTCATCATTTTTGACCATTTTGTGTAAGTTCTACCACAAATGTCACAGAAAATTGCATTTTCTTTTGAAATTAATGGTTCATGTTTTTCTTTTATATGTTCTCGAAGTTTAGGGACATCTAAATGTACTTTCAAACATAATCCACATAGCAATGGCATAACTTCAGCATGCACAGCCATTATATGTTTATAAAAATCATTTCGATTTGGCCACAATCTTCCACAAACCTCACATGTGTTAGGACAGTCACCTTGGGCTTCATGGTGAGCTTGATGTTCAACTTGTAAAGCTGGTGATACAAATAACTTTTTACAATCTTGTTTTGGACATATCAATGCTTCATTGTTTCCATGTTCTTTCAATACATGCCACCATTTTTCAGTACGAGAACCACAAGAGTCGCCACAAAGTTCACAACGATTAACAAAACTACTCTGAGAAGTATTTGTAGATGCTAATCCAGATGTTGTAGTTATCATGTCATCACAACCAGTCATTAAATGAACAGAGGACATATGTCTCAATAACTTCTCTTCACTAGGGAACACTTTATGACATACTTGACAACTAATTGTATAATGTTCATTATTTGTAGCTTTTGTAGGATGAAAATTATTATTTATAATGATTAACTTCTCAGGATCTACTATTTGTCCATCATTGTCATATACAGTATGTATTACAACATGCCTCATCATTTTCTTTTTGGTGTCATGCTGCCTAGCACAAACTTGACAACGGTATCTACGTTGTATAGATTCAGCTGTATCACTAGATTTAGGATGTTGTGTATTCACATGTTCCATTAAAGATTTACTATCATGACAAATTTTCATACATACACCACATGTAACAGCAGCTTCTTGTTTATGACCTCTAACCATATGCAACCATAGACTGGCTTTGTCTTGAAACTCCCTGGTACACACTTCACAAAAAAAAACTGTTTCTGCTTCCATCATACTTTCAGCTAGCTCTTCATCTTCTCCAAAATTTCCATTTAATTGATGTAAATCAGAAGGTTCAATTCCATGCACTTCTGATATATGTTGACTTAAATCAGTTTTATTGCTAAAATCACGTTCACAAAGTAAGCAAGATTGACGAAGATTATTTTGCTTAAGTTGAGACAAGAGAAAATGATCACTAGGCCTAGTTGTGTCAGCTTCATTTTCACGAGCTACTTTCCTAGGATTAGCATTTTTTCGACGACTACCAGAATCTGTTTGTGACAAATTTCTAACCTGTAACAACAAGATTCATGTAAATTATTTCAAATTTGATATAAGTTCTAAAGTCATAATTAATAATGAAAATTTTCTTTAGTATAGAATTAATCGATACAAAATACATAATTTTAAAATCATAACTTATATTAAGTAATTTAGCTAAACAATTTTTAAAGGAAATATTATTGTTTAATTTTAACAATCTCAAACAAATAACTTGCATAAAGATATTTAAATATATATGTATTTACCTCAGATTTTTTCTGTTTATCTTTTGGAATATTGTTAAAAATATCGGCATTAGCATGTACACCAATCTAAAAATGTAAATAATAACATGATCAATATAAATAGAAGAGATTATGAGAGTTCAAGAAAAATAATTTTTAATAAAATATTAGAGTGAAATGAATTTAATGATTTCTAAAAAAATATTTATCAGAATACCAACTAAAATCTACTTAAAACAAATTTTAAATGGTAAATTTCTTCCATTATCCCTAAGTTACCTCTAGGGCTTAACATCTCTAAATGAGTTATGGTCCTTTCAATAATGTTAATTAAAAAGATTTCAATCCTTGTTTGTGATTTTAAATAAATTATAAAATTTAAAAACAACAATATAATACATAAATAAATACACTTAAAGTATCAACCTCAAGGAAATCAAATGGGTTAGGTGAATGTTCTCGATGGCTATTGTTATTAGCCATCATACGTTGTTGCATGATTTTTTGATGCATTTGTTGTTGCTGTTTTTGGTACTCTGTACGACTATCATTTGCAAAATACTGCATTTTATTTAGAGGCGGCGGCCCTCTATGAGATGATGATTTTTGATTTTGACGCTGAGATTTTAGAAATTGTTGTAATTGCATAGATGCTTCAGGCTGTTTAACTGGCCATGTAGCAGGTTTTAATGGTGGTGGATTACTTTTGATTTTTCTTGCTTTAGGTTGTGGATTAGGTGAAACAGCAAATATAGACACCTAAGAAATAAAACTAAATATATAACATTATAATTATTAAATAATTTTTTTTTAATTCTTACTTCTGGTTGTATATGATGTAAGCGTGACATTCTTTTGATTTATGAAAATTTTTAAGACACCCTAAAAATATATAATTTTCAATTATATCACTAAGTATATAATGTTAAGTAGCAGCAGAAGTTTAACAAAAAAATTGTTATAAGAAAACCATACTCAATAACAAATAGCAAACAAACTAAACGTGCTGTTAAAATTAAATTCAGAAATTTTTTAAAAATTATTATAAATATTAATATAAAAGTCATAACAGAATATTATTATCTTATAGATAATATAATATTGAACAATTTATTGATTTAAAAAATATTGTAATCTATCATTCAGCATTAAAAATGTATACCATTAATTAAAATTAATATTTATTAAAAAAATTTAAAAAAGAAATAACCATTAAAAATGTTATACAGGATAATTTTTTTATTGGTATCTTTTAGTTTCATGTTTTCCTCAATATACATCATTTATATAGATTCATAATGTATTTACCTACCATTTGGTATATTTTTTTCATAAATTTAACCCTTAACCTGTCCACAAGGGGGGATTTAAAATGACAACTTTTTCAACTTAACTTTTGAAAATGTTCCGGAAGGTCTGACACTTTTGTATATATCTTAAATGAAAGCTAATGTAATGTACTTTATCATGGAAAAAAAAAATTTCGGACTTAATTTTTCTTCATAGTGAAAATGGCTACCGTATGATATTTTTTTGTTAAAATTTTCGATTTTGTTTTTTACATTTTTAACTTTATAATGCTATAACTTTTTGAAAAATGTATGGATCAGTACAATTTTTTCACGGGGAGTAGTATTTATATACATCTTTCATTTGACATACTGTTTTGTAAATCGGACCATTTCTCTATATATGAGGGGGGTTCAAATCTAAAAAATGCATGTAGAAAGTAGAACTTTTTCAACTTAACTTTTGAAAGTGTTTTAAACAATATCTACAGATTTGGATCGAAGCGTTTTTTATGATAGTGATTTTAATCACTGTCAGATATCATCTATACTGGACCCAACTATGCCGCCACCCCACTGTGATGGGTTTTTTTTTTTTACGACTGGCTTATTATGGGCCGCCCTGGAACTGTTGTTGGGCATTACACTAGGGCGGCAACATACATTTTTGACACCCCGACTAGAAAAAACTCCCTAGTTAGTCCCTTAGTGACGTCATCACTAAGTAATATTATAACATTTTGCCAGTTTACACAAGTTTAATAATGAATTTTTCAATTAATTAAATTGTTTTTATTTTTAAATATTTCTATTGCCTCTTTAATATTAAGTTCTTTGTAATTATTTACTTTTTTAATTAGTTTTATGGTTTTAATAGATTGATTATGTGTCAATAAATGTTCAGCCACTGGAGATTTCTCAACTTCTTGATTTTTGATATTTCTTAAGTGCTTTTTAAACCCGACCCCTATATTTCTTTTTGTTTGTCCTACGTAACATTTATTACAATTTTCACGTAGTATTTTATAATAACTGATTCCCCCCTTCTTTTACATTATCTTTAGGGTTACCTAATAAATCTCTTAGATTATTACTCTTAGATGTTACTAACGTAATACCAAAATTCTTAAATATTTTAGTTAGTCCATTTGAGATGGCCGTATAATATAAAATTGGTGATCTAATTACTTTTTGTTCCCTCACGCTAGTGAGTGTCCTAGCTGTCCTCTTTTCTTTTTCCACTTTTGTGTTAGGACTAATTTTTAAATTATGCTTTTGTTATACCCATTAAATTTAGCTATTTCTTTTATAACCACCAGTTCTTTATCAAAATCTATTTTATTTATCGGAATATTAATTAATCTGTAAATCATACTTTTATAGCTGCCAATTTGTGTTGCCAGGTATAGTTTGATGTGTTTGGAATGTATCTGAACATGTGCGTGTTTTTATGATAAATTTGAAAATTTAGTTCCCCCTCTGTTGTTTTAATTAATAAATCCAAAAAGGCAATTTTCCCTCTACTTCTCGTTCATATGTGAATTTAATCGATGAATAAAAAGAATTTAAATGTTGTATGAAAACCTCTATATTAAAATCTTTATTTATAACTGCAAAAATATCATCTACATACCTAACCCAAATTTTTGGAAAATCCCTATATGGTTAAATATTTTTAATATTTTTTAAGTTTTTAAATTAATAATATTTTTAATATAGTTTTAATTTTACTTAATTAATTAGCCAAAAGTGATCAATTTTTATTATACAAAAAGTTGTTATTAACCAGTCATTTTTCTTAATTAAAACATTATCAAATAAATAAGTTAGTTAATTATATTTGTGCCACTTTAAAATAAAGCTGAAATCCTTATAAAGTATTAAGGATAAACAAAAACNTATTAACCAGTCATTTTTCTTAATTAAAACATTATCAAATAAATAAGTTAGTTAATTATATTTGTGCCACTTTAAAATAAAGCTGAAATCCTTATAAAGTATTAAGGATAAACAAAAACAATACATTTAGATTATTAATGTGAGAAAAACATGGAATTAAATGAAACCCAATAAAAAGATTATTTATGTTGTTTTTATTTTTGGATAAAGTAAATAGTTCATGATAAAATATACACCTTTTATGTATCTAACAAAGATTTTATAATTTTATTATTATTTTTGCTCAGAAATAAAACATTTCTAATTTATTTGTTCTAACAAAACAATGATTTCTAAATAGTAAGAAAAATTATTTGAAAACTTAACTATCACAAGTTGATTTTAAATTGTTTAATAATTTACTTGGAATAAATAAGATGCGAGATATATACTTATCACACAATTTTTCCCTTTAATAATTATTGAAAACGAGATAAAATAAATTTGAAATTTTGGTAAGCCTAGATGTTATCTTATCAATTTTTGATTGATAACACAAAATGTATTCAAAAATTAATAGCATTAAAATTCATATCAATAAGTTATACTGTAAACATTGAATGAATAACCTAATGAACATAAAGTGGATGACCACAATACCATAATTCCCACGTTAATAACATGCATGTACTTCATTCAAACCCGTTATTTTCTGCCAGTTTTAACAAAAACCATCACAATGACAGGTGTTTAGTAATTTTCCTTACGAGTTTAATTGATAAATTATATAAAACAAGTTTTCGAACTCAAAAGATAATAATATTCGTATGTACTGTCTACTGTGGTCGACGGATGTCTTAAATATAGACAATATCCTGGCCGTAATTTAGGTCACCTTCAAGCAACCATAATAACATTCCTTATTCATCATCACAGTCGCAAAAAGCGTAAGGATATCAGAGCAAAAAAAAAGTACTTTATTTATCTAAAAGGTTTAAATACTAGAAAAACAATGTGCTAGTTATCTTACCTTAATAAGTGCAGAGGTGTTTAGTCCCCGTACGAAGTCAGAGCAAGGTGTCCAAAGTCGTCGCTGCGAGTGACGAAGCAATGCAGCACAACGACGGGTGCGGGCGGGAAGGTGGCGCGGTGTCGTCACTGCCTGGGCCCCTTACATAACTGGCCCACGTCCAAAGTCAGCCATTTGTACAAATGAATGGATACCCATTGAAGGTGCTAGGATCTATTTAAATAGCAGAACTTTAAAGCGTAGAATGACAACTTAGCAGAGGTATCTATTAGGAAAGTACACTCGCGAATATCCGGCTTGAGAAAGTGACTCCAGCAGATACGATACTGCAGCAGAAGCTATCGTTAATAATTCAGGGCGCGGATTCTTCTCAACGTAGAGCAACTTTCGCGAACACGAAAAATATCACGGAAACTTAAAGCTAAAGAAAGTTCGTATAGTTGCGAAACTTAATGACACTGACATAATAGATCTTTAACTACAGTAGATTTCCCCCATTCGGCTCTCGCAAATGGTGTAAACGGAACCACGATTCTACGATACGGTCGACAGGGCAGGCGTAGAACCATTGGATGTTCATACCAACTAAATTCCATTTCATAAGATGTGGTTTTACAACAATACGGCCACACTGGTCATTTACATGGTAGCCAACCCACTTACAATTGTTTTTATAAATCTTAACAAAGTTCAATGCATAATAACTGATAAATGTTATATAGAAGGAAGACTTATCCAACTTGGTTGTATGAGTCTTGACACTCCTTGACTATCTAGTTAGGATCATTGTGATATCGAAAAAGTTTTCGGGACGATCATTAAATTGTAACTAGGGCCCGGTAATAATGGAATTTTTTAAATGAATCTTTTTTCATGCCATTTTTGAAAGTAAAATTGACTAATTTTCTTATGCTAGTTTTTTCATAATCTAGCGCTATCCCTAATAAGTAATAACTTACTACAATTGTCTAAAATTGAAGTTATAAACAAACTTTTTAAAAGTAAATTTACTTTTAAAATTATTTTAATATGTTCAATGAAATATTTAATTTTTTAAAAACCTGTTTATTATTCAATAATACTTCTAGAAGTGTTTATTTTATACTTATAATGTTTTAGATGTAAACTTGAAAATAATTATAGATTTTCACGTTAATTTTGAAGATCCTACATAAAAAACCTTCAAAATAAATTTACTCTATTAAAAGAGTGTCTAAGTAATAACCTGCATACAACGCTTCAGAGATGGCGTTATGTTCTATATTGGCGGCAAGGTCAAATCGTCGGTCCCACTACCGGCTTCGGCAACAACTAATCCATGAATCATTTTAAACCAATTCAGTTGAACTACGGCGTTATAGGTGAATGTTATTAACTAGTCTTAATTGAGTGAAGTATTATGTATTAAATTAGTCAAGCGTATGAACTGAAAATTACTAAACCAACTAAATAATTTGCTAAATAAAAAGGTACTTATGAAGACTATAAAATGTAGCCAACATATAAAAAAAACTATAATGATAACTGATAGTGATTAAAATGACTATCATAAAAAACGCTTCGATGCAAATATTTAGATAGTGCTTAATTTTTAAAAATTGGTGGATTATTCCAAAAGCTTTATTTTCTGCTATTTCCTTATTTATATCCTGATTAAGATAAAGTATGTCATATAAAAGGGGGATATAAATTTTATTTCTCATAAAAAAATTGTGTTGATCCATACACTTTTCAATAAGTTACAGCATTATAATAATAAATAATAATATAATAATAAAATTATTATGTAATTAAAATCCATCATTCAATATAAAATTAAACGCTGTAAAAATTAGATCTCTTGTAATTTTTTCCTAAATACAACAGAACTTAAGTAATAGTCAAAAGATTTAAAATATCAAATATTATACAAATACCACGATACAGAAAAGTAACAAATTTACTTAATTATAAAATATTATTCAATGTAAAATACAATCATTATTATTTTTGCTACCGCACGAGCGATAACGATTTCCTAATGTCGCCAAAATTGTTTTTCGAAATCGCCTTAGACGGTCGCACTTGTTCAACTGAATCCGTTAGCACTACTAAAGGGCGTAAATAATTGAAAAAATTTCCTACCCCTTAATACGCCATTAAGCCTGATATACAACCTGTATTTGAATAGGATTAGCTTGAATAGAAATTATAGGGATGCCAAATTAATATTTCCCACATCCTAAAAATAATTTAATTAATAAATAAAATGTTTGTAGGGCTTATTCAATAACTGTAATGCTAAATCCCGAAGCTTTCTTCAGTATAATTGTTAAAATTAAAATATGTTGACTGTAAATTTACAAAAAATAACGGATTTCCCATATTAATAACGTGCACAGTAAGTCAAGTAAATATTTGGACATCGTCTAGAAAATTAATTTGCTTCTCGATTCGCTATCATCTTACAAACCTTAACAAAAATGTTTCCGAATATTTTCTTGATTATATTCGTTGTCAATAATAAAAATCATAATTAAACAAACCACGTTTCACCTCCATCTACTTTTTTTAAGTGTTAATAAAAAAACTTCTGAAATACTGGTTCAAAAATTATTACCGACATGCCATTTTCTTAGATAAATCATTTTCTTGTAAACATATGAATATTTAAACATGCATTTTAATTTAAAATAATTTAAATATTAAAAAAATTGATACTATCTTATAAAGGGGATAGAGTAGTAGTGATGGGCATTTTCAAATATTTTAAACAATCGAATAGTATTCGACAGTTTTTTAAAACTATCGAATAACTATTCGAATTGTTTTTATACAACCGAATAGTTTATTTTTAGCATAAACTATCGAATACTTTTAAAAACTATTCGAATATATTGTGTAACTATCGAATATTTTTTGAATGACTATCGAATAGTTCGAATAGTTACTATTCGATATTTCCCATTACTAGAATAGAGGAAAAAAATTGAGAGAACTATATTAACTACATTTTAAAACGTCACGTATAGTAATATTATAACTTCTGAAAAAAAAACCCAGCACAGTGGGGTGGCGGCACAGTGGTGTCGTGGCATAGTTGGGTCCAGTATAGATGATATCTGACAGTGATTAAAATCACTATAAAAAAAAAAACGGTAGCACAGTGGGGTCGAGGCACAGTATAGACGTGGCATAGATGAGATAAGTATAGATGATATCTGACAGTGATTAAAATCACTATCATAAGAAACGCTTCGATGCAAATCTGTAGATAGTGTTTCCTTTAGAGAAATTGGTGAAATATTTTAAAAGCAACATGAACTCTTATTTCTTTAATTATATCCTGATTAGTAGTTCTTTGATTTTAAAATATAATATATGAATAAATACTAATTATAGTTTTTAAATTTAGTATGAAATTGTG